AGTCAATCAGTCCAAAAAAAGGAACAACACACCTCCATTCTCATCCCTGAATGCGCTCATTTCTCCAAAACTGGGAATGCGCAAGACTACCGTTGAAGCCAACGCCAAGCCGCTCGCCACCCCAAGGCCGACCCCTTCGCCGGTGTTTCGCTCGACGTCGAGCGGTCTGTTTTCCAGCAGCGCGGCCTAGCGGGTTCGCCACTTGAAGGCTGATATAGAACCTTGCACGGGCAGTCTCACGTGAAAGACATCATGAAGAAGCACCAAAACAAACATGAGCATGTCAGACAGCATGTCCCGCTCCTGGAGTATGAGTTGTTCATAGTTTTTCTACAATAATAAATTCATGACTGAGGGACCAGATTGGCTCCTGGAGCACCCTCTTTTCATGACTCTTTATAAAGCCTCTTGGCAGCATGACCCAGCGGACTGACCCAGGCTGGTTGGACTCCAGCTTGATCGGCTGAAGACCCGACCCCTTCCCCCGCCGGACCGCCGAGGGCCCTTCCGTGGCTCGTCCAAGTGACGCGGAGATGCTGGTGACTGGGCCCACGTCAGGCACATAGATTGGAGCCTGAACTTTGGTGCCAGGAAGAGATGTCCACCGTTGAGCTGATATTTGTATTAACACTGGCTGATCAGTATACTGGCTGATAATATACTATTGTACCAACTGATCAGCCAATATACTTTGGTGTTGGTGGAGAGATCACCACGAAGGGCAAAAGAGATGTCCACCGCTGAGCTGGTCCTCTTTTGAGGGACTCTATTTGACTCGTATGAGTCGAAAGAATGATGTTCCATCATGTTCAGGATTGTTAAACCCAAGGGTTCAAAACCTCAACTGAAGTCATGTTCAACTTAAGATTTGATGGCGTCAGGGCAGGTACACTCGGAGCTCGATCCAGCCTGAAAGCCATAGCGCACATTTGCTCCGTATTGATGCACCATGAACTGAAGCGAGGCACCTGGACTGAGGCAAAGGAAAAAAAACTCATCGCCATAGTCGAAATGGAAATAAAATAGCTAGCAATGAACCTATATATATATAATAACGATGGCTTCCAACCTACTATCGATGGCCTCCAACCTAATAGCGATGGCTTCCAATCTAATAGCGATGGCCTCCAACCTACTAGGGATGGCCTCCAACCTACTAGCGATGGCCTCCAACCTACTAGCAAAGGAAACAAATTAACAAATCACTATAGTTGAAACAGCAAGCTTTTTTATGTGGATATGGCCAGAAACAAATTAACAAATCACTATAGTTGAAACAGCAAGCTTTTTTATGTGGATATGGCCAAAAGTATCTCTATCTCATGGACCCTCTACCATACAAGTAAGGTGATGGATTATTCTCAATATCCAATCCCACAGGTTCCACAGGCACTTCGAAGAATTATTAAGAACAGTTTGCTAGAAAAGAGCTGTGCACTCTCGCACTGTTGATACTAGATAATATACGTTTTTAAAAATATATATGGCTTCTGAAACAAATTTAAAGAACAATCATTCATATCAGTCCTTCAATAGGCCTTTGTAAGTGCTCGGCATCCCCTCCAAACCCACGCCTTGTGAGCTGGGATTCACCTGGTCAGTCGCTTCCGCGTCTCGCGACTCGGGTTCGAGCTGGTCAAGACTCCAAGCGGGGCGGTCAAGGGATGATTCATGGTTGGGCCAGGACCCAAAGTGCCCCATCCAAAAACCGATCCTTTGGGAACTCCTGGCAAAAACACGTGTAAGTCATGGTAAGTCTGCAAGTGTCCTTATAATTGGATGTTCTGGATTTCCCCCATTACAAACAATCTTGAACATCCTTAAATATTCTCACATGGTTCTGATCGCAAAGAGCAAGTCACTTCACCAGATTGGAATCCATGGGAAGTCTCTATATTTAAATCGTGAACTCAAAATGGTCACTCAAATCCCTTGGAGCAGGAATCCCACAAACTGCAGTTCATGGATGTTCATGATGTGCATGTTAAAACCGGTGGAATACCTTTTGGCATCTTTTGGCCATAGGAAACCACAAAGAGCTGGAATGTGCTGTGTACCGACCTCATGTGCTGTGTACCGACCTAGCGTTTCTCGCGTTTCCAACTCGATGCTAGCAGGCGCATGGAGCACATGTGGAGCACTCCAGGTGAATCGAACTCAATGTCTACATAGAACCCAAACTGGACCTCCTTTATGATAGGATGCCAAAATAGAGGTCACTGAGGTTCTAGGGCTATATTAGGTATGATGATTGCCTGAGCCATCGGATATGGGAGATGCTGAGAGTATGGATTGGATGAGTGGAGCTCCCAGCCCTGGTGATCGAAGCCCCTCACCTCGGGTAGATCTTGGAAGCTTCGGGTCTCCTGAGCGTGACGTGTCTCGTCTTGTCTCGTCCAGAGCCTCCACACCACCCAGTGACGTAAGACTCGATGAAGACTCCAAGCAGCACTACTCTCTAGCAGCTGTAGCAGTGGTGAGCTCAGCACAGTTTCAACTGTACCGTCGTCGTCGTTGTTGTTGTTGTTGTTGTTGTTGTTGTACTACACTTCCACAATATTTTAAAGAACACAGACCACAAAGACTTTCTTGAAGGAACGGATCTCTATTTAATTTTCTATCCTTTTTTTTCTTTCACAAAGCTGCGCCAACCGCTTCCTTCTACAAAGCTGCGTATCTCTCAAACGCTCGATGCTTGTAGCATCCAAAATCCGAAATACACCTCCCTCTTTCGAACCTTGGACCCCCACAAAATAGGACCTGGATGGGATTGGGTCAGGTTTTTGGAAATGATTTGCCAGAACGCATGGACTCAGCTTGAGCTGGTCGAAATACTCTTGGCGTTTGGTCTCGTTCCACCCGGGCACCCGGGCATTGTAAGGAGCTTGAGGTTGTCGCGTGACCAAGGCCGATAGCCATTCAAAGCCTCACCAGTCGCACGCAGTCACACGCAGTCAAGCGCAGCAAGCAAGCGCGGCACGATGGCGCTTGCTTCTTCTGTGCGCTTCTGGTCTCTTCTGGTGGTTTGAGAAGCCGAGCATGTGAGTTACTGGACATTTGAGGGAGTAGTGCTCGACAATCATGAATCACGAGAGCACGTTTTGGCAAAGTCACATGTTGATAAACACCAGATTGTTGTACTGATGATTGAAATCAAAACTACTCTGATGACTCAACAACCGGCCTATATATATTTATTTATTCATATTATGTTTTTAAAATATATATATATATATGATAGTCAACCAACTCTTCTGCGGAAGCGGTGCTTGTGTCAGCTAAGATGGAGTGCAAGCAAAGTAAAAAAACGTGATAACCCTCTTGTCACAATAGCTCTGGCAAAAAGCTCTGAGTGCCGCACCCACAGGGGCTGAGATCTCCAAATAGCCCAGGAAGTCAACGTCCAACATGAAAACTACCTGGTTTGCAGCTTATGATTATTCAAACTACCTGCATTGCAGGTAGCTTGAATAATCATAATTCGTGCAGAAGTAAATGAACATCTTGAGCTTCGACCAAGAGGCCTAAATGATCCCAGCTCTCAGTGCACGAGAAATCATTTGATTTCTGTATATTCGGAGCACCCACTCGGAGGAAATGCTTTTCTTTCTCGGATAATGATCCAAACGAACAGTCATCATCATCATAATCATCATCATCATCATCATCATCATCATCATTGTTTCATCTTGAACAATCTAGCGTTTTTGACTGTGCTCCATTCAACACGAATGGAGTGATGAGACTCTTCTGGTCATAACAAAGAGGTGCAAGGATCACCAGAGGTACCTCCTAGGATGGTTTTGGAGCTGAAACTACTTCCAGAGAACGGTCTTTGGAGCTAAAGGACATCCGCAGGACGTACCTGGACATCCTCTGGGCGAACGGCACACACACGAGCAGCACGGGTCACAGACTTGAGAGACTTGACGGGTCATTGACGCAATGGCAGCGGTGGCAGCGGCAAAAACAACCATGGACAACTTGGTCTTGGTTTGCACCAACAGCTGCTAGGCCCTAGTTCTTCCAATTAGAAAAAGTATCATATATAGACTCAAACCTATTAGCCCCAAGCTCGGCCCTGGGCTCCTGCTTGGGCCCTGCTTTGGACCATCTGGGTGCCGGGCCGTTGCATGGGAGGCGACTTGCGTTAAGGCGAAAGGTAGCCAGCTGGCGAGGGTGACCTTGGTCACGTCTGGCGACGGGAAATTAACAATTCTCCTTCTGAAATTCTTCAACTTGGTGCTTCTTAAGTTTCTGACTTTCTCACTTTCTTCAAGTTGGTGCTTCTTAACGTTCTGACTTTCTGAAAACGGCAGGGTTTGTGGGGTCTTGGATTCGCCTAAGTTATGGCGTTGGACCACCGGCAAAGGTAGAATGAAGCAAACAGCACCCTTGAAGCATCGAGACTGGAACAGACCCCTTGGATCGTATCATATGGCCTCCATGAACCCGAGAACGGGGTGGGGAATGAGGACAGGACGAAGATTGATTGTTTACTTGGGCAGCCAATAGTATGATGAGCACATTGTGTGTTTCTTGCTCGAGCTCGCACATCATGTCTTGGATCAACCAAATAATGCCGGGTACCTATTACAAAAGCCTCCCCAATCCAAAAACGCACCATGTCCGACACCCTAAATTCGGTTTATATTTGTTTTAAATTTCCGCCCTTATTACCGCCCTTTCAAACCACTACTAAACTACCAACATGGTCGATGTTGGTGGTAATTGTGTTTTAGATTAGGTTCCAAAAACAACCAATCAAGGTTTTTGTAGCGGAAACGGAAGACCCTTCGATCTGGAGGTTTTTTGAATTTTTGATACGAGTTTAATAAAGGATTTTATGTATTCTTATATAACACTTTCCTGCGTGACTTGTTGGTGAAGCTCTTCCCAGAGGTGACCCTACTTTGGACCCCCCCGATTTCAGGGACCCCCTATTGAACAAAATGCGACCGAGTTTTCTTAATAGGGGGGATCAGAGACTGGAGACTGGATCAGAGACTGGAGACTGGATCAGAGACTGGAGACTTCAGAACCGATGCGAAACGAACGAGTTTCTCACACGGGCGTCAAACCGCGAAGCAGCAAATGGGACAAACGGCGCACCGCTCTTTTTGCGCCGGAAACGGTGGTCTGGTGAGCTGAACCATACAAGCTGACATCAGGCAGAATAAGGCAACAGGAATTTACAACACATCTCATGTGGCTTGGGCTCAGAAGGACATAAAGCAAGTCTTTCAGAAGCTCATGTAGCGCAACTCACGCCGGCTGAAAGTCCTTGAGGAACGGCGTTCCCACCTGAAAGCATCATGCAAGCGCGCAATTCGGATGCTTGCATGTAGCGAACAAGGTAACATAAGCCAGTGGATCCAGTTACGACTAATATATTCAGTATATACTTATATATACATACTTGGCATATGTAGGCATAACTGTTTAACCAGACCTAGAAAATTCCCGAAACCCGGGTTCCGTCTGCATCACTATGCGGTAAGTGGTCACCACTGCACTGGGGAAATTACAAAGAAGGACCGTGTCAAAACGGTGAACTCCAGCCAAGAAAATGGAAGACTGCCTCCTGTTCGATGATATTTTCTCTCACCTGGCCCCTTTGGAATGGCTGTTTCATTTGAACTTCGGAAACCCCGCTATTGAACAAAATCCTACCAAATACACACCGCCCTACACTATGAATAGTACGGTCTTTGTCCAAAATGGCGCAAAATGTGGTCCATCCTGCAGGAAAACCCAGCTTCTGAAGTGATTGGATCCCCATGATCCACTCTTAGCTCAACCGCTTGATCTCCCCAAGCATCCATCCTACCCCACTATCCACTATCCATCCTACCGCACCCCCACCATCCAGCTCCAACCATCCGCTCCGGTGACCCCGAGCGACGGGGCGGTGTTTCGGGTCGGTCGCTTCGCCGACCGAGCCGCGTTGCTCGTCACCGTGACCCAGCCAATCGCGCCATCCTTCGCTCGGCAGAAGACGCGGCGCAGCTGGGCAGAGTTGGTCTGAGGGCCTGAAGGTGAAAGCAGAGACCCAGCGGAGACGAGGGCTGAGACAAAAGAAAACACCTTTCAAAGGCAATTCGTGGGGGTCAGCTGGGAAAGGAAGATCTTGAGGAGCTGTGAATATTGTGAATGGTGTGTTTTTTTTTGGAGGACTTCATGGATCACCTCTTGCAACACCATGCACCACCAGGAATTGGACACTGGGTGGCGATGGTTTATGAGGATCCAAAGATTCCAATGACAATAGCCATGCAAGGGACATAGGTCCATTTAATGTTCTAACCGTGGTTCCTTTTTCTTCCTTTCTAACGTTTTCCAACCATCAAGCTACCCTCAAAAAAGGTGGATCATCGCTGAATAGAGAAAATCTGCAGGTATTCTCTCTGCACTGAAATCTGCAATCGGCAGTCTTTCGGATATGACATTGTCTGATTGTCCCCATCAACAGCCTCCCTTGTTCCCAGGACCCTCCACAACTCAAACCCTACAAAAGTACGATGAAAAGCGCCTGTACCGTCGGTAGACCGTCTGCTCCCATGTTCCCTCTGTCCAGTTGCTGGAGGCAGCCATCCCTTACCCCATCGATCGACCGGGTCCCTCACCTCCAAGCACCTCGAGGAGCTCCCCAGGCTTTAGACTCCGAATGACCTGAAGCACCGCTGCAGCCCTCTGAACGACACTCGGTCTGAACACGTGATGTGAACAAAGGAGGTGCCACCTTGGGCTCCTTCTGATTATCTTCCTTCCAGTGGTTTTGACGATCATCTTCCCCCGTCTATGTTCCCAGCAAAAACAACAGGAAGCAGTCTCAGAAACGCTACTAGCAACAAAGGGCCTCGCTACGAACGGAGCAAGAACGCTACTAGTAACCACTGGCACCAAGACCGGCGCCTCGCCGGCGGTGATGGCCACGTTTTTGGTCATCGTCGTGGTCTGCACGACCTCCGTTCGGAACCGCCCCTCGAAGCAAGTGGAAGATGCCCAGACGCGGCAAACCGCGGCTCTCGTCGACGCGGTGAAGACAAGCAGGTCACTTTGAGACTAGAAGAGGTGATAAACTGGAGCAACTCTTTTGCTCTATCATTTTATTTAGTTGCCTGGAACCTGACAAACCTGCTAGTGCTGCCTGCTTGTTGTTTTTGTTGCTGTAGGCTCCTCCCAATGATATTTGACAAAGTGAATAAACAAAAAACAGCAAAATAGAAATCCAAGTATATAATTAGTTGTATAGCGACCTGGACCACCCAATTCCAAAAAAGGTGCGATGTAGTGCGATATTTCAAATCACAAGGAAAAGTGCCATGCTGGACCAAAAAAGCGATATTCACGGAAAAACAATGACATATGTTGTGATGGGGTGTCCCCGGAGAGGTAGACGTGGACCACAAATTCACTGCGATCAATAATCTTCTCAGGTTTCTGCAGAGGATTGGGCTTCAAAAAACAGCCTGGTCAAGCTGAAGTGTTTGTGAGGAGTTCAAATTTGCTGCAAATTTCCAGTCCGCAAGTTTCTGCCAATTTCCGAGATATTCCCGCAAATGTCCGCCATATTCCCGCAAACTTCCGCCATAGACTTGTTTGTCAAATTTTGCAAGTTGCAGCCATCCAAGAGTTACCCCTTCATCAATCGTTGGAATGCCCAAAGTTGAACTGGAGAGTCTGCTGTGTAGGGCTTAATCAATTCTGCACCCGTATTGTGTCCTGTTGCACCAGGTGGAGGCCAAGATCCCCAAAGAGCACAAACAGTGACATATGGCACTTTTTTGGCATGGCAGCTCCAAGTAGCAGTGTTGTTTTTTTACCTAGCATTTATTTTGCATAATTACAAAGGTTGCTCCAGGATGCTCCAGGTATGTAAACGTACATATATCATATCGAATATACGCCAGCAAAGTGCCAATCGGCGTCCATCGGCGCCCGATTCGGACACGGCTGGGTCTTCCCATCTTCGAGGTCGATCGAGGTCGACGGGTCCAACTGCATCGCCGTCCTTCTTGGGGGGTCGCCACCAGGTCAAAATCAAATGAAAAACATGTTCCATCATGTTCCGCTGCAACTCAAAAGAAGATGTTGAGATTGGGGTAAACAGTGATACATAGGGATACATCCCATGTGCTGCACGTGTGCTTCGCGTACCGCTGCTGCGCCCTGCTTCACGCCACGTCCAGTGCCTGCATGAAGCGGATCAACAAGCGCTCGAAGCCGTCAAAAGAGAGACTGGTCCTTGGTGCACTTGACCGTGTCTAAGAGCTAAGGTCTGCTTAAGATCCATGATCTCGTGGGCAAAAGGGAACCAATTGAACTCATTTCAAGAAAATAGACTTGAATAGTCAGTCTGCCTTAAGATCAAGCGTTGTGAACCGCCTTGTGACTCTTTGGCTCCACCCGGTTGTTTTCATCGGAATGATCGTTGATTTTAGGGGATTTTCATCACCCTGCCAAGTGACTGAAGAATTCCACGCTCTGAGAAGCGACAACAGTTCCACGAAAACATGCAGTACACAGGGAGTCAATAATTAGGGTTCACGCCATAAACATCGGATAGACTAGAAGATCGGATGTGTTCTGAACATCTGTGCCAATGAATAGACCAACCCAAGTTTCTCATCATTCTTCAGGCCAAACTCGAAGAGGCTTTCCAGCTCCTGCGGTTGAAACATGTTGAAACTCAGTAAGCACTCCGACTCACTAACATGGAAGTGGAAAATCCCCTGTTCGTAAAGGAAAGTAGTCTTCCAAGGGACCATTTTCCACATTCCATGTTAGTGAGTCAGAGTGTAAGTCATCTCATCTCAGCCGATCCACGAGATGGTTGCAGAATATGACAATATTCTGAACATAATGACTGAAGTTAGGATGTTCAAGGATTTGATGATTCCACAACCATTAGGCACGCAAAAGACATGGTGTGTCAGGAGTCAAGAGACATGCAAGTATGTTCTTGGACAGTCGTCACATGAATCTGATGTCTCTCGCATGCCTCTGAGCCATCGTGAAGCGAGATGTCTACATCATGCAAAGTTTCCAAGCTCGGTCGGACCCTGCAGTTGGAACAACCACAAAATCCACATCAGCCACTCGCGCGATTGGGCGCCTCTGTAGAAGGTTGAAGTTGTTGATACTTGTCCTTCGCTGCGAGTGGAGTGGAACGAATAACAGTCTATGAAACAATTTCACTAGGTGGAGAAGTTTGGTGATTTTGATCCACGCCAATGCCCAGCATGTTCGTTCTCCATCGGCGGACTTCATACAGAGCCTCGTTCCTTCGACAGGCGCGGGCCACCGCGTTTCTTTGTCGCTGGCTGCTGGGAGTTTTTTCGTTCCAGGTCCTGCAGCAAAGGGAAGACGTCTTCAAAAAAACCCAAGAACTCTTCGCGATTGAGCACACCATCCTGGCCGCCACCGCTGGTGGATGCGGTCATCGGTGGAAAATGGGGATGACTCCTTTGGAGATTCAGTGGGATCACCACATTCGTCGGTGTGAAAAACCCATGAGGGCCTACACCATAGTCTACAATTTCTACATCAACATCTGAATGATAATGAGCCTAGACTCCATTTTGCTCATGTCCACACAGCAATGGATCTGAACCTATCCAGTATGACCATGGGATGATGCAGTAGTTCACTACGAATATAGTCAGTGGTGGTTGATCAAAATTATTTCATGATGTATTGGCCATTGTCTTAGAACCTTTCGCGGCCTCATCGCGAAGCATGGCCCTAAAACCATGTCTAGTTAATATGTATAATGGAACTGTGTCTGAGGATGCTCTTGTAATATCAACAATTAATGTTGATTGGCATCTTGCAGCATAACCTACACACTATAGTCACTAGGGTGATAGAGTCAGGCACAACTCAATCCAACCCTCGTGCCAGCTACCAACATAGGGTAATGCAGCTCGGGAAATGTTGGGGGGGCGCTCAAGTCTGGAACTGGGACAATCCTGTATGCACTGTCAGTGGGAACAGGAATCGGAGAATCCTTTATGCTCTGTGCTGGCTGGGCAAGGAATCACAGCAAGTCCAAAGGACAGATTTATCGAGCGCAAAGGCCCCAATTCACCCGCCATCACCTCCCGCAAGTCCAAAGGACAGGTTAAACTGGCGCAAGGACGCATTTCACCTCCCAACTTTCAAGACCCCATGTTTGTTTTCATAGGTTTTCGCTGCCTCTTAATGCGTTGTTTCATTGCCTTTTCAAGTTTCCAGTTCCCATTTTGCCACCGCACCGATTAAAACGGGTGCGTTTTTCAAGCACCAGTTAAACTGGTGTGTTGACCCACTGGGGCTCCATGATGGTGAAACTTGAGACATATTGTAAAACATTGCCGAAGTTCTAAGGCCTGGTTAAACTGGTCAAACCAGCACGTCAGTGAGAATGCCAAAAACGCTGGCAAGAAGACCCACTGGGAATCATTGAAGACCCACAGTTCATAAGCCTCTGACAGTGGGGACATGTCGGGACACTTCCGCCCACCGGCCCTGCCAGAGGATTGCCCTCCATTTCTACATGAAAATTAAGTTTGAAGACAATCGATATATCTTTTGCGAAGACAATCGAGAATCTCATCGCGAAGCTCATCGTGAATCTTTCACAGACGGTTTGAACAGCACCCATGTGATATAAGACCCCTTACACGCACCTTTAGATCAAATCCCATGCAAATACTATACAACTTATACATCTTCTGAAGGTTAGTGTGACTCTCGAAACCACCCCAAATCCCCAAATATCCCCAACACCCAACCTCAGAAGGAATTAGTGCATCGCGTATAGGCACTAAAGAGGCTTATCGAATCTTCTCGGCCACGGTACACGTCTTTACACCTTGGCCACGTGGCCACCGGCGCTCTCCTCATCCTTGTCCAGCATCCGAAAGACATCCTCGCGGGCAAAGGAGTATATGCCCCGGGCATCGAAAGGGAGACCGGAGACCAAGCGATTCCTGCAGCCTGGTCAGCCTGGTCAGCCTGTTTGGAAGTTGGGTAGTGAATCCCAAGTGATCAGCCAAGGGTGACCATTTTCACCCCATCTATGATTGTAGCATAGGGCCTATGATACTATGTGAGTCCTATATAAATGACCCAACCGGTCACGAACTGTTCACAGACGCCGGCAGGATGCGCTGAATTGCAATTCAATAGGCCGAAGAAGCTTCTGGAACGCTGGGCTTTGGTCTCCCAGACCCGAACAGCGTTTCGCCCCGTTTTGGGCGATGGCCGGCTCGGATCGTGCACATGAAGAGATGCGGATGAGTTTGGTCCATTGGTTCTCTGTTCATGACACATGCCACGTAAGGTCTTCCATGGTTTACCCCAACGCGAATGCAAAGAACCTGAGACTCAAGGCCACTGTTCCTCATCAACACCAATAACCTCCAAATCCTTCAGCACGTTCTCACACAGTTCAATTCAGAGTCTGCAAATTCAACAAACGGCTCACAAAACTGTTGCACCCCGAACTCATTGACTGAACGAACTCTTCGAGATCACATCACCTACAGGACCTACAGACCAAACCCATCCAACATGTTTGTCGTCTGGTTCTTTTGATGTTCTTTTGACCTGATTCAAACCCCGGTCTTGCCAACGTTTCCTTTGGGCTCAATCCGCAGTGTGTGTGTGTGACCCACATGGCCCCGTGATCACTCCCGTCCTTGGAAGGCAGCCCTTCTAAGCCTTTATCTGCCTGGTCCTGCGACCGGAGGAACTGAAGAGCTTGGAAGATGCCCCACCTGGCGCCCACCTGGTCTCCTCCCAGCACCACCCAGAGGGTTTCGCTTCCCCCATCTGTGTTTGATCATTTTCCCGAAAGATATCCATCCACACTCCTCTCGGAAGACATCCATCATGGCAAGGACCTTGGTCCTGACTTTCTTCAAACGGAAGACATCTTGGCTTTTGATCCTCAGCCACCAAACCGCTCGTGGAGTGCATGCGACAGGAGCAACAGGAGACAGGCCCGCAAGCTGGGGCCGGCTCGGAGTTCTACATCCTGAGAATGACCAGGGCTGCAATTTCTTACGACCCAACGACTGTAAGCCTGTAAGCACTTACTATAAGAAGCGACCCAGCGGCGGCCGAACAAAGACCATAACGACCACACACTGGGCGACCGCCGTGACTCGGTGCGACTCGGTCCGCATCATCATCCAAATTACAAATGATCAACAAACGTTGGACCATATTGGACCTCACAATCGCACAAACAACATCAAAAATGACAACTGGTTATAGTTTGGTGCATAGTATTAGAACTTCATGCAGCTTTAAATACAGTATACGTAATATTACGAAATTATATACCTCCGGCCTGACCCTCTCTCCCCCGGTTCTTTCGAAAAACAAAGAACTCGCGGTTCTTTGCAGATCCCCATCTGTACCACAGGTCGGGGTGGGCATCTAGATTTCACAAAAGTCTAAAAAATACCAGTGTCAGGTTCTATAAGATCCTGAGGCAAAATTGGCTGTTGGCTGTTGAACGGAAGAATCAATAATCAAATCCAGTGTTGGGGTTCTCTGGATGTCCTTGGAAGTTAAAGTTTTTCAAGGTCATTTCGTGGCAAATTCTCAACGCTTATCTTATGTTTTCCTGTGCTGACCTAAGCCAAAATCAACTTAACTCCACAGCCTTTGGGCGAGTTCATGGTCGCCAACATGTCTGGCGCAACGAAAAAAAACCTTGTGATGCTTTATTGTTTTCTTGCGTTGAGGGGAGCCTTTAAAACATCATTCATTTTATGTCCCGGACCTTGATCCTTGATAATATTCTGCCTCCATGGTTATAACAAAAAGATACTAAAGCGATGCGCGACGAGGGATTTTGAACGACTTTTCTCCCAGGCACTGCTGGGCGCAGCGCTCCAAGATGCCTCGGAGCCGCTTCAGGCGCACCTGGAAGAAGTCCAGCTTGGCCTGAAATCCTCGGACAGTGCAAGGAGCATTTTCCGGGCCGTGCACCCGCGACGGACCGTGCACCTGTTATTTCATGCTCCTGATGGAGTGGAAGAACGGCAGGACTGCCAGCTTACTGGAGGATGTTGGGTTTTTGGAATGTATAAGGTGTTGTTGGAGCACTTGGAGCACTACAACCCTCAGGACCACCTTGTCTCAGGGGTGAAGTCTTCGGAAGTTGATCGCAGTTGCTTCTTGGAGGATGCTGCAAGCGGGTTCATCTGCTGAAGGTTAACAAGGGGTTATATAACTATATAAGAAAAATACTTTACGTCGAGTGATCCCCACAATGAGATTTCAATCGTTGTTTTCATGCCATGGTGAGGAGCATGTTGCCATGGTCGTGAGTTTTGTGGCTATTGATTTTGCTTGTGGGTCCTCGGGTTTGGCATTGCTATTTTAGTGTTGGAGAGTTCGCATCAGGGTGTCGCCAGGGTCTCCCCTGTGGCCACCTGACACGCAAAACGCCACACACACAGGTAAATATATTGTTGTGGTTGTGTGTTTGTGGTTGTCTTTGAGTGTTGTGGTTGTGTGCTGTGCTTGTGTGTTGGTGGTTGTGTGTGTCGGTGGTTGTGTGTTGTGGTTGTGTGCTGTGCTTGTGTGTTGGTGGTTGTGTGTTGGTGGTTGTGTGTTGGTGGTTGTGTGTTGTGGTTGTGTGTTGCCGTTGTGTGTTTGTGGCTGTGTGTTTGTGAGTGTGTGTGTGTGTTTGTGGTTGTGTCTGTGTCTGTGTGTTTGTGATTGTATGTGTGATTGTATGTTTGTTGTTGTGTTTGCGGTTGGGTTCGTCGTTGTGTGTGTGGTTGTGTTTGTGTTTGTGGTTCACTGCCCACTGCGATCTGGCGCTTGCTGTTGAGGTCCGGGGCCCCCGGGGCGAGGAGGAGGAGGAGGTGGAGGAGGAGAAGGATATCTGTAAAAATCTAACAACCCTCACCTGACAGGTGGGGAAGAAACTCCATGTCCAGTGATTTGGGCTGAGTCTTGGAATGGATTTTTCCACGCCCAGTACAAAAGACTACCCCTGCCCAATATGTGCTTCCTGCGAGGAGATCGAAGATAAAGTGAAGGGAGCAACCAAGACATCCAACCCCAGGACTGATCGGACGCTACGAACGGGGCTCCTGGCCTTACTACGAGTAGGAGCGATCGGACGCTACCCCCAAGGAGTCCAGTGATTCGGTCAGTAGTTGGAGCACTCCGGATCACATCTGTCCGGCTTGAAGCGGTTTCGGCTCAGATCGAATCCGATTTCTTTGGTGGGAAACAAATGGAAACGGCGGAAACCATCGTCGTTTTCAAAGGCACATGAAGTAGACATATAACTTCAACACAAATAGTGGTGTTACATTACCAATTGTGGGTCGTCCTCTGACTGAACTGGTGAACCTGATCTATCTTCGCGAGTAGTAGCTGCACATGAAGACGTGCTGCTAGGAAACCTTTCATTTCACTGAAGATGTGCTTTCGCAACACCTGCTTCACATAGTCATCCACCTCCTCCACCGTATGCTCCTTCTTTCCAGAAAGGCAACGAAAACATCTGAAATACAACGAACAACGAATCGAATCCAAGTATGAACAAACATAGGACATGACTCATGCATCTCATGACTGCAGTTCGGCCCCAAACAGCAAGATTTCATAAAACAATTCCGAATTCAACTGTAAGAATCAACTGCAGGTGTTTCAGGATGTCAGGGAGGCAAGTGATGTTGCTGCTTCATTGTATTTGCACGCATGATCAGACATGGCGGCATGTTGTCATGACGTCTTATGCAAAAGCATCCTGTAGGTGTAGGCTGAACGAGCTTAACCGCACCTGATTGGCAAAGTGAGGCAGGTTCAAGCAAATCCGATGAACACCTTGCTTACCGGCAAGGCACATAGATTATCCTCAGATTCATGGCTTCACACGTATATCGCAAATTTTGTCCATATTGCTACAATTGCTATAATGCTATTAATAACTAGATGTGCTGCCTAACTGCTGACAGTATGCTGTCTGTGCCCGCCCACATGACATCCGTAAGATGTTCTGCACACGAGCAGCCTCGCGACCAGCTGGACCAGCCTCAGACCTTCATGGAACACATGCGGCGCGTCGTGCTGTCCTCGATGGGACAAAGCTGATCCTGGAAGGCCTCCAAGCTACCTGGTCGATGAAGAAACCGCGACGTGCGAACGAGTTCCGCAGCGAGTGCTGTTCTCGTGGCCTCCGAAGGTGGAAGATGGTAATTACAGAAGCTGGACATCGGGAAGGAACCGCAACAAGCGGGACAAACAACCAAGCACGAAGGACTTTCAGCGCAGGTAGATGTTCGACCGTTCGACCCAAAGGAGAGCCCGAACCAGTGGCCAGTTGGTTTTCACCAGCAGGGATGTTGGGTACCACGAATGCTATCCGAAATGCATGTGACTCTCGACATGATCATGGTGATTTCTTTCCGTGGAAAGCAACAGCGATACGCCAAAAGCATCTGTATACAGTAATCTATCAAACAAAAAAAAGGAGACCTTCCACCCAAGCGGCTTGCTGCTTCTGCAACTTTGGCATCCATTTCTTTGGCAATCGCCTGGCCATAACAAGTTCAACGAGTTGAAATGGATTGAATGCACACCAGAACCACAACATACCCCTTCCAAACGAACAATGCTAGGTTTTGCCTGGTAGAATACATCCCCAGCATGCTTCTGTGACACTCATATCATTCCGCGTGCTTGTGGGCCAGGATGGGCCAGGGAGTTTTTGACCCTCCACTCGCTTGAGACTGTTGAAGCTGAACAAAACCTTTCAGTCGGCCAAACCCCGTGCCATTTTGATAGTCTGAGGGATTGTCTCCTGGACACTTCCATGTCTATTTATATAGATCTATATATATATAGTCTGTATAGGGGGCATCTCAGAATCTCAAGGATTGACATGGAGATGCGGCTATGCCTCAAAATTGGGTACGACCCAACCCATGGGCTTCATCCTGGCAACCCTTCGGGAAATGGCCTGGAACTGTACTACAAAGCTAGAGGTCTATCAGCGCTTGTTGGAGGATGCCAAAGGAACACATCGGGTGCCATACGTCTGCTCAACCAGGTGCCCTTTCCCAGCTGCCAAATGCAAAAGGGTTGCAATCAATTCAGTTGTTTGTCCTGTTGCTTGTGCCAGCTTCAATCAATTGCATGCAATTGCACCATATCCACGTGGTTCTCTGAATGGCCCGGCCAGATGCAAAGCTGTCCCATTGAATGTCTTCTTCATCGTACCACCAAACATATCTTATGGTGTCACACTTGGATTTAGGGATCGCGCAGTGCAGTAGGCTCTTGTTGCTCTTCCACTTGGTTGACGACTCGACGATCGATTCGACTGGAATACGCATTTCTTTTGACTCCTCGACCTGTGGAGAGTCCGGTTCCACTTGGTTCCGACGTCACGACAAGCTGCACATCTGAAACATGCACCGTCGCAGATCGTCGCACATGTTTAAGATTTAATTGATATTCATTCAGCCACCTCTGACCACATCTGGAGATGCCAAGTTCTATAACCCGGTGCGACTTCAGCGTTTTGACCCTCGAACCCATCTGCATTCAAGCTGGAGCAAAAAAACGTGGTTGCGAACTAACCAATTACGGGAAGTGAACGAACTTCTTAAAGGTCCGTTTACGCCTGAAAGACTATTTCAACCAATTGCAAAGGAAAAGTACAATGAATGCCTGACTCTGACATTGAACACCCTTGAACAAATGTTGAGCTCATTCGGCATGGGCAATGCCCCAAGTCCTGTGAAAGCAAAGCGTTGCTGAAGGAAGCGATGACGATTTGAGTCTCGATCGCAACGCAAAAACGGGACCAGGTCGACCTGAAGTTCTTCCGCTGGCATCAAAGCCATACTCCTCACCTTTTCAGACAGCACCTCCGCCTCCTTGATTGCTTCCGACACCTCCGGACATCGACGCTGTCCAGCGCAGCGAGCGAGCGGACACCAGAAGAACGAGACCACGACCACGGAGGCCAAAGTGGAGCCACGGAAGCAGTGCTATACCATGCTGGTGCACCCCGCTCCGTTTAAAACATGTCTCATGGGCCACGGGTTCTATATATGTTTCTATGATGTTCTATGAATCTCTCGATGGTGCAAAAGTTTGGCTCTCAAGCAAGCGATCTTGAGAATCTATGTGCCCGCTACACTCTCCCGCCGGACCACCAAGCCTCCGCCGAGGCTTCCTCCACATTGAGCGCCTGGACGCTTGTGTCTGTCCATCTCTGGCAGAACAAAGCATGGGCGATGCAATGCGATGCATCATATATTGGCGAACCTGAAAGGTGCCTCCAAGAACTCCGGCCAAGGGATTGATTTGTGAACAGCTTACTGTCCTCACACAGTGAAACATTCACACTTCTTCCTCCACGATCACTTTTGACCAGAAGATCTGGGCATTCCGCATATTTATATATATATATATGTGTATATGATATTATGTGATCATATATATATATATGTTGTTTATCGAATTAGTTTTTTTAGTTTTTTGTGTATGTCCCGCCCAGTGTGGGTCGGATCGGCCTTGACCGCCTCAAGGATTTGTGGCTTTAGCTCGTCGAGCAATTCTTTGCTCTTGGCCTTTTGCACGTCTCTCCTCAGGCGTGTGTAGGTGTCCCGCTGCGCAACCCTCCAGAAAAAGGATCTTGCATGATCTTGCATGATCTTGCCCATTCCAAGTGGCTTGTCCATCAACAGAGTCTTTGAACCCATCTAAGGGCTGGCAGTTGGAAAAGATAGCGACGGGGTGCATGGTCTTGGATTCATGGCCAACTCGGTATTTCAGTGAAGCCTGCGTTTTGAAAGCATGCCAAGCATCTGGTAGTTGGCCACCAAGTTCTTCACGCGCCCCGTTCTTCGCCCGAACTGTCCCAAGGCCATCCTCAGGCTTGGAGATTAGGGGATGGGATGGCCCAAAAAGAGGGTCCGTTCTGCAAGAATCACGGATGCACCTAGAAGCGCCATGGATTATATAACCGTGATCATGTCAGACCCCAAGAATTGTCGAGTGTTGCAGCCACTTGTACCCGTCGTGATGTTCATGAAGCATCATCAGGTCAAGGCAAGTGAAAACCACCAAACCATAAAGATTCACCATCATCCACCCACTCGAACAAAGGTGCACTGGTGAGAACACAATTCAAATGTTCCCCCAACTGAGCCTCTTGCACCATCTTGCACCTAGGCTTACTGGAACATACTGCGACATACTCGTGGACATGTCCTACACTAGTCGTATACTCCAACCAAAATGCCGCAACAAATACATGGACCGAGCCTACGTTTCTTGTCGTTCCAACAGAAATACATCGCTCGAACCTTTCCAAGGTGCTGCAGCCTTTTGGCCTCGTCTTTCAGGTACTCGTTGATCTCCTGGGCTCGTCTTTCAGGCTTTTTCCGATTGGCAGGTTGTGCCCAGATCATGGTCATAAAGGATTTGAACAACAAACATGTGTTTCAGGATGTTCAGGAACATCACTCCAGCAGGTCACTCCAGTTCTTCACCTTCCCTTGAAGAAAAAAAACACACCGTACATTCTTTCCGCACTTGCAAAGGCTTTCGGGGGGTTGCTTTCAGGACCCTCCTCCTCCTCCTCCTCTTGTTTCAGCATCGGTACGGATCGATTCGGGTCCTCTCGAATCTCTTCTTCGATTTCCACCTGGCCGAGCACCGGTTTGGTGGTCGCCCGGTGGTCGCGGTGATTAAGGGCAAGGGGAAGGAATCGTTGCAAATCAGACAACGAAGGGGGAAGGAATCCTTGGATACCTCAAGAACTTCTGTGTCTCAAGTAGTGTTTGATATGTCTTTGTACCCATCCTGATGGGTTTTTCAATGGGTTGGAAAAAATTGGACATCAGTGACATCAGCCTCAAGGCACTGAAATCATGCACACTCACCCAAGATCGAAAGAGAACACTCTTTATGTTAGTCAAACCATCTCCCGAGCTCTTCAAAACCCATCGAATAGCCATGCATCAGCCATCGTCCCACCCTGAACATGGCAGAGAGAACATGGCAGGCGCATCTTCCAAATCCTGAATCCTCCATTGGGATATCGAAGGCCGTTTGACAGGGTTCTTCCCAGCAAAGGATCTTGCCACTATGACATGAACCGATACATGTTGCCATACTAATTAATGCCCAGTTACCTATATATATATATATATGCCACTATGTCAAATTTACAGCTATGATTATGTCACACAAGATTTGCCTCCGCAGTTCACCCGACCTCCACCCTGTTGCGGCCTCCATCTTCAGCGGATGCTCCTGAGTCTGCGTGAAGGCCGCCTGGATCCCCTCCTCCGCCTCGGCAATCATTGGCTCCAGCTCCTAGTGGCCAGATCAGGGGGTCCGACCGCGTCTTAGGGCCCTTTGGTCTGGACAAGTCCACCTAGTTGGGTTTTACGGTTTCCCCACTCCTCCAAAAGGTTGTTTTTTAAAGATTATCGGTGATCCACTCACTGTCTAGGGGGAGAGGTGTGGATGAAACCCGTGCGGTGATCAGGTGGACAGGACGTTTAAACATCCACTGTTGAGACGGTCTCCGTCGCACTTTCGCCCTCACATGTCCTCAGGGTGGTGTACTTTGCAGTTTCAAAAGAGTAAATATATAGCTCATATGACCGAAGCCTGATATTGGTTTGTCAAAACACTGGTCCAGCGTGGAATGTACAGCAAACATGTTCTGTCCTAAATAAAGTCAATCCCCAAATCTTCGGGGAACTTGAGGCAGTAGGGGAAGCAGTCAGTAGAACAGAAGTACTGTAAAAAAAGAGCGGGGAACTACGAGCTGGAGCCTAGCAGCCACTGAGAGACTCTACCGGCCCTTATTTGTTGGGTAATGTTTGATGAGTGATTATTTTCAAATCCTCTGCAAAACTGCATGGAGAAGACCGTGTACAGGTGGAAGGTAGGCTCAGGTAGCTTACTAGCTAGATGAGTGCTTCTTAGACGTACCCCATCGCTTCTTGGGATTGACCAACGTGCTGACTCCCCATCTCCTGGATCCCCAGCAGGCCGTCCGGTCGACACAGAGAAACAATCCTCATCCTGGTCCAAACAAACACTCTGAGAGTGTCCTTGGCGATCCAATCCATCTCATTTTCGTCTTTGTTCTGAGGGATCCCAATGAAAGGTTCCACCTGAAACCAGCGCCCACCGAACCAATCTTCCGGCACGTGCCGGAGGGGTTGGACCCGGCGTTTCGACCCGGTAGCGGTAGACCCGGATGGGCCGCGAGCATCGCAAAAGCATCCAGGACTGAACTGAACCTGAACTTCTGCGCCAGTCATGAAGCTCATGTGCCAGAATCTGGCTAGCAAACCAAGCATGAACAAGCCTCCAAATCTGCTCAACGACGCAGGGTTGTGACACAACACCCTCATTAGCCCAACATAAATAAAGAGAGAAGGATAGAATAGGAACAAGAAAGCATGCCCTCCCACAGACCAATGTTGAAATGAAATCAATTATGGACAGCATGGAAAACCATGTTCCTTTTGTTCCATTCCATACTTATATATATATATTATATAAAGGCTTTGCAGCGTCCCACGTCTTTTGGAGTCAGAACCGATCACGTTGGACCTCGGACCGCTCACCCTTGGGCTTCTTAGCCCGGCAAAGGAACGGATCCCAAGAAACACCCAGGTCTTAGAACAAACAAAAAACAACTGTTTCTCAAGCAGCCGACCTTGTAAAGGAGGTATCTGCTTGGCCATTAACTGGAGCGACCCTTTGTTTCATATATTTGTTTCTGGAGGTGGGTCCCAGCAGGTATTACAGTATGAGGTATTAGCTAGCTAGCTAGGCACAGCTATAGCTGCAACACACGAGCGGGGTGATTCAAATGGCTTTTACTTTCAAATCTGGTGAACCCCTCTTTCCGAAGCCCCGGTTTCACTCTGTTCCACGGTTTCAGGATGAAAATCACGGGCCTTATCTTCGCACATCTCCACGAGTTCTCTGGCTTTTGAGACAGCCATCCTTTGTTCGAGGAATCCGAGAGCACTGGGCTACCGGTTGGATGTGGATCATGTCAGCACCAACAAATCCCATCAAAGCCCTTGACATGATGGGCCAGAACAAGACGGGTGAAATGGGTTGTGCTCTTTTGTTGGACTGCCCCATCCCCCCTCAAATGAAACCCAAACCAACCCAGCAGAGTGCTTTCCTCTCAAAAAATGTTCCAGATCTTGAAAGCCCTCCAATTCCGATGAGCGTCTCGCCAGGATCTTCCTCCAAATGGAGCCGCACCTTGGCGGCTCGCAGGAGCTCCTGAGACCGACACGTGACGTCGATGTCACGTGTGCGGTCGAGATGTGTTGTCACGGCGATGTCAGAGCACTTTTGTGTTGTTTTTTTGCTTGGTTTCAACGATGAAACCAACAGCGCAAAAGAGAGATATACCCCTTACAAATGTGTTGCGCAGGTGGATGCAGGTGATCTACTGCACAATTGAGGATGTCAACCCCTTCAAGGAGTTATGGCTGCAACTCTGCAACACACAAATAAGTTGTTCGCTCCAAGGTGCATACTGTATATATACTATACATGATAGTCTTGAGTTCTTCTTCTCAGATCCAGCGCCTTCACAGTGCTTCTCTGTATGTTCTGCAAGTCTGCAAGTGGTGCTATCAGCGATTACCCAATCATTTTCCACCAACAATTCACTGCTCCATAGGTTGATGGCCCTGCATGACCTCCTTGAGAAAGGTGGGACATCCTTTGTGGATTTGCGGAAGTTCTCCATACACTGCATACGCTATCTTGGAACATTTCAGACTCAAACCCTCCTATCATCCCTTCACCTAAATGAAGTCGTCACATCTTAACCGATCCGCCCAACCCCCAGCGCCAGCGCCGATCTTCGTCCTTCTTCGCCGTCTCCTTGGCGTTGCGACACGCCGCTCGCACCGCCTCCAAGGCTTCCCCCGCCTGGACCGTGCGAAGGACGGCCGCTCACAGAAGGCGGAAGACCTCCGTTTCCAAGAAATAGAGATATATGCATGTGTATATGATTATATATGTATCTCTATAATTGTTAATATATGGCATGGACCCTGCCTGCTTAGGGAGGGGGTAGACTAGGTCCCTTCAAAATTGGTTATTTATTTGATACCACCCTCTTGAGTTAATAATTGAGGATTGGGCTTGTGGCCATAGGAATCCTCACAGCCCCGATTTGGAAGCAACCAGCTCAAACCACTGAACTCGGGGTTCTGGATTGTGAAGGGTGTTTGTGGCCATCGGGATTGTGAAGGGTGCCTGTGGCCATAGGAATCCTCACAGCCCCGACTTGGAAGCCACTACTCAATTGGGGGGCTCTGAATTGTGAAGGGTGCTTGTGGCCATAGGAACCCTCACAGCCCCGATTTGGAAGCCACCAGCTCAAACCACTGAACTCGGGGTTCTGGATTGTGAAGGGTGTTTGTGGCCATCGGGATTGTGAAGGGTGCTTGTGGCCATACTTTTAAGAACCCTAAAGTTTACGCTTCTTACTCTGTTCCAACATGACACTTGCGGTCTACAGCGGATCGGATTGACACGTCCATTTTGCCTGGCAGGTACGGCACGGTAAGATTTCCACACCCGTTTAAACTTATAATACTTATAAGGCTTTCAGGTGTGGAAATCTGACCGCAACTTAGGCGTCGACATGTCGCACATAGGATTCTAAGGGGAAAGGGTTTGTCCCGTTTTAGAAGTCAAGAAGCGCAACTTTCGGCACCCCAGTGTAGGAATCCTCACAGCCCCGATTTGGAAGCCACCAACTCAAACCACTGAACTCGGGGTTCTGGATTGTGAAGGGTGTTTGTGGCCATCGGGATCGTGAAGGGTGTTTGTGGTCATAGGGATCCTTACAACCATCGCGCCAGCTGGGGGTAATTGAGCCGAAGGTGCTTCAGGATCAGAGGCGTTTCACCAATAGGAAGGATCTGCACATGCCAAACAATCCAAAGCTCTAATCCGTAATCCTAGTCTCAAAACGGGGGCTCTGGGTTCTAATCCGTAATCTGCCCCAAACCGGACAATCTAGTTTGGGATTAAGGATTACGTTTGATGAGGCCAGCCAAAAATGACTTGCAACCATTCACTCACTCACTGATCTGTGAGTCTGACGCAAGGGGCCACACCAAGGGAAGCCGCGCCACGCCGCTCCGCAACGGGTCGCGGGGTCGACACGGATCCCGGTCGGACCCCCGGACGAAGAAAGGTCGACCAAAAGCCATTGTTTGTTTTGGGTCTCCCGGTCTCTTCAGAGTGAAATACGCATACTTCAATTCAGCGGCACTATATATATATATATATATAAACATAGTGGCACGATGCATTTAATATACCCCAAAATTTGGAGGTCCGACATCACCTCACAAACATATATACTACCATACACGTGTTTGGACAAAAATGCTATGTAAGTCATCCAAACCCATTGATGAACAAATATCAAAAGGATCAAAGGAGACCAAAATTGCAGTTTTTGGTGGTCTACATCTCTACATAATTAGGTTTCCAATGCCAAAACAGATACAGGTGTTGATCAGGTGTTGGGTGTATCCTATTGCCAGCAACAGTTGATGATGATGGTTAGTAAAGGCCTTTCTCTAAAATAGTGATAATTGTGCACCGACTGTTACAGGTAACGGGACAGATCCAATGCATGTGCCTCTTTCCGTTGCTCGCCACTCTTGTTCACTGCATCCAGCCAACCTGGCAACTCTTGAACGACGCTGTTCGCGACAAACACCGAACGGTGAACAAACGGTACATCCACGGATGTCGCTCAAGAGGAAGATATGTTTTTGTCTCAAGTGAATTGACTTCCAGGACCATCCTGTCTGGGTGTCCTGGCTGGACTACCCTACACTACTTAGGGATCTCCAGCCAGGACACCCAGACAGGATGGTCCAGGTTGGATGGACCGACCCCAGCCGACAGACTGAGCGCACCAAAGAACTTCAGTTGGTACGAAGACGTTTGGCTTTGAGGGAAGGGGGCACCATTTTCACGTGGAAATCGAGTGCGACAGGGCTCAAGAGATAGACTGATAGACTTTAAATAGACATTTAAATCTATTTCTAGACGAAAAACTGGTCGCCGAAAAGCTCCGCTCAGTGCGATACGTCGCTTGCCGACACCGGTTAAAACCTACTCTCTGACGCGGGTTAATGGTAAAGCTGCCCTCCCACCCTCACCCCCGCCACACCGCGAACCAATCCACTTCCACACGAAAACTGGCCCCAGAAACCCAATCCTGTAACTGATGGTTTCTACCACCCACTGATGCCTTATTTGGTTGGGAACGGTTTATGATGGAGTTTGTTATCAGATGCTACTTTAAACGATTTTTTCCAGATATTATATACATTCGTATGAGCACGTTTCTACTACTACATTCAGGTATGAAAATATATAAATTAAATGTGCAATGTTTGATCGCAATATATTTGTATCCATCTATGTGTCTATTTATCTACCTACCTATCAATCAAAAGATCCTATATATCTACCTATCTAACTATCTATCTGTCTGTCTATCTATCTATCTATCTATCTATCATCTATTGGCACCCTGCCAGGCTTTCTCAGCTCTGCATCATCGCCATTTAACACTTGTGCAAGCCAACGTCACCGGGGAATCCAATTGAAGTTTACACAGTGCAAAGACCGTTAAAACAAATATATATATATATAATATATACACATACTAACGAAAGATAAATATATTATAATATAATACACATACTAACGCAAAAAAATAAAATATATATATATATATAATATGCACATACTTTTTCAGGCACATAATTATTCCTGCACATTGGAAATCCGCGAAAATGCAACTCTACTATCCGGGTAAGAGACCCCAAACAGTCTGTCTAAAGGTCTAAGGTCTAGAGGTGTAGAGTGGTGGTGATGCTGGTGGTGTTGTTGCTGGTGGCAAGTTCAATGACAACAGCAACAACAGCAGGGACAGCGACAACCACCCTTATGGCATCGCCAGTTTGCAAAGCTCTAGAGCAAATGAATCCGCCCGCACCGAAGGTGCTCAGGGCGTGATCATCCGGATTGCATAAACAACTCTAAGGTACAGGTTTACCGGGGGGGAGGGCCTAGTTTTTGGCCAAAACCATGGGTTGTTGATAGGTCACGACGGCGGACTTCAACAAACATCGTGTTTTTCAGCACCGAATGGGCTAGTCCGTGCACGCACCCGCCCGGAACCGGCAAGAGAACAGTGATTGTTGTTTTTTTTACTGTTGGTCTTCGATTTTTGGCTTTGAGACGCGTATTTTTCCATGTGTCTTGTCGGGAGGGCGGGGGGCCAAATTTTGTGATTTCGGAGCTGTTTGGGTGACGGTTTTCGTCGTTTTTGTTGGGCAGAAATATTGTTTTTTGCAGTGTTTTTGTACATTGCCGAGGCTTGAGTTCTTTGCGCAAAAATGTAAAAACCTCGCAAATAGCAGTGTTTTGGGCGACCATGTTGTTGAAAACGTCGCAAATTGCGGTGCTTTTTGACAGCAGGTTCAAACACACTGTAAATAGCGGTGTTTTGGGCCACGGCAAGCTCAAAAACATCGCTATGTGCAGTGGTTTCTGCCTCACAGAGCATAAAAACACTGTAAAATACAGTACGTAGTGGCGTTTTTGGCAACGCCAACCTCAAAAATTCTCGCTATTCGCCGTTTTTGTTGGGCAACTGTTTCATGGCGGTGCGGGCGGACCTTGCCGCGGAGCGGCGTGAATATAAAATAAGTTATAAGTATATTATGTATTATAGTCACTATATTTGCATACTGTATATTATGTTTGTTTCCCTTTCAATCCCTTTCACATGTTACGACTTTCAAATCACGAGCCAGAAGTTGGCTGTTGGCTGCTGTCTGATCAGCCAAGGGACTTCGCCGCAGGTCCAAGGACAGCCCCAAGGCCGCAAAGTGTGGGGCATGTTTGCTGATGTAGTCCTGGAGATCGATGAGTCAACTCTGACAGGATGTAGTCAACTTGCCAACTTGCTTAGATGAAAAACACCGACAATCACCAATTGGTTCACTTGCTCCTCTGAACCCAGTTGATGTGAACATGTGAGGAAAATATAAAGGGATTGCCCAGTTCTTTGGATGAGTCGGGCTATAGTCAAACCCTCTGTGGGTTTGCTAGTGTGCGGTGGGCTCAAGAAGTACAGCCTGCCCCACAAACATTTAAACTGTCAGTGTGTGCTGTTGGAGTCTTTGGCTGCTCGCCGTCATGAATCAGGAGACGGGGTTGGTGGCTTGGTTCATTCAAAATCAGTCCTTCGCTGGACTACAATGGCAAGCAGCAAGCACTTATAAAGAGGCAGAGTCAGTGTCAGAGATGGACCTTTTAACCCGTGTCCTTGTCCATCCATCAAACCACCCAGCCATTCATCATCCAATCATTGTCCGTGTCCCTATAGTACACGCATACTATAGCCCATACCAGCACCACATGCCCCCCACCAACAAAAACTGCAAGTAAAGGCGTGTCGGACCGTCGATCACTGATCGGTCGTGTCCTTCACGTCCAGGCCAAATTGTTTGAAGGTCTCTTGGAAATCTTCTACTCCAGACTCCAGCCGCTTCACCTGCAGATAAACAGTCTATTTTCACGGCAGATCTGATCATCTCTTCACTAACTACATCTAATTACAGGGCACCACAACAGGGGACAGTTACATTTTGTACAAGACACCAAAGCTCAGAAGACATGTGCATTCCGCGTGCCACCTGATCAATATGTGTATATTATATATATATATATCAAACGTCCAAGGAAAAGGACCTCTCCCTCTGATGTGTGAACTGCAGAGTCGTGTGCTGAACGGCACTTGAGCATGGACCCGAGGCTCTGTAAATCCATGGGAAATCCATGTTTTTTGAAGTCATGACATGTAAAATCATGTCAAGCCACGCAAAAGGGCCATGATGCGTACCTAGTGCCTACAAGGTGGTGGTTTCACCCGTGAGGTTAGTTTTCGGGTAGCGATCCCAACTTGGCCGCCAAACCCAGCTGCCTCGGACGCCGCCATGCCTGGCTTTTCGCGTACTTTCTTCAACTCCTGAGACGAAAAGCTGATCAAAGAATCACCATAGCGTTGACAATTGTGAGGTGCACACTGTATACTACAATCATGGAACACATATATCATATATATCATTATATATCTGTCTCCATTAAAAAAACACGTATGTGGGATGACCGTGTCCTCTGGATAGACCATAGCGTTGACATCATATCATATCCGGAAAGGTCGGAACCAAGCCTCAGTCCGGTCTTGCCCGGACCAACAAAAACGTACCCATTTGGGTGCAGCGGTTCTACGTTAACCGGCTCTCAAGCTTGCACCCTCCGGCATGAGGCAAATGACGGCCCTAAGCGCAAAGCAATTACGAAACCATGAACAGGGCAACCAAAGCTTGGTTACTAGGTCTTTACGCACTCAAAAGATTCAGAAGTGGAGCGTTATATAATGCTTTGCAGCTGGGCTGCCTCAAAGAAAGTCAAATGAAGTGTTTCTTGAACAGTTGAAAAGTGGTATGGTGACTGACTGCTGAAACGAGGTGGAAAATGAAGTTGGTGATGAGCAAACAGGGAGATAGTTTTGGGAATCATTTGTACACTTGCAGTATGTGTGACTTCGAAAGGGTTGAAATCATAATATTGGGTTCCCGTAATGTTCCCCATGTTTGAGGTCTCTCGGCAAAAATAGAAGCAATGGGACAATGGTCCTGCAATCTGTCTCCCATTCCATCCTAGCGAAAGCAAGTATAGCTATGTTCTGCATGCTTCTGCCACGTTTCGCCCAAAGCTGCGGGAACGTCATCAGCGTTTCCCTAGTCAGAGATCGTGTCCTGGAACTCTTGTGATCTCTTCCGGAAAGTCTCGATCACTTCCTCCAATTCCTGGAGAGACGGTCGCTGCGGGCGGGTCACTCGTGTGATCCGATGTCCACATGGATGAAAATCACAGATGGTTCTGCGATAGGTTGTAGATAGGTGAAAACTCTACACTAACTCTATCGTAGGGAGGTTCACTCTCAAAAACAACACTAAATCCAAGGGATGTTGACCTATGACCTACACACACCCGACATGTGTTGATGATATGATATGTGCCAACATGATTCACCAACGCATAGTATTGCACACAAGGCTAAAGTGTGGTACAAAGAAGCTCTTGCACATCTGGAAGCAGCAAGGCGAAGCCGCCAAACGCAAAAACGACACCTTAAACATGCGCAAAAGCTTCGTTAGGCTTTGTTAGTTCAAGAGCCTCCGCAGGGTCTCTTAGAGGCCCCTTAGATGAAAAGAAGCTTCCTGACCTGTCGACTCTAACCCTGACTCTGTTCACCTTTGTGGGGTAGGATGAGATGGGGGTATCTCCAGAGGTATCTTTCGTTGAGATCTTGGGCACTTGCGGGATCAAAAGGCTGGAATAGATATGGTATGGGGGCCCCCGCATCACTGAGCACCAGCCATGCAGTGATGTTGCAGTGATGCCTACTTCTTCCAAAAAGATGGAATCATCCGATTTTGCCATCACCCTCTCTACATGATACACCTCAGATTTGTGAGGCACTTACAACTTGCCACCGCAACTTGCCACTCTTCAAAAGCCCCCGACTCGAGACTTCCTCAAAAGAGATGGGTCTCCCGCGCCTCGAGACTTCGAGAGGCCCTTTCATGCTTCTCCTCCTGGCAGGGTGTGAACCCGGGTCCACACCCCTCTTCCCGAGACGCGCACGGACCAAGGAACTGACCCAAAGAGAGATTGAATGCACAAAACAGGGCCCTGTTTGATGACCTAAAGTTGTATAATACTTAAATACTATAGAATATACATTTGTGTATACACAAAATGTATACACATGATGTCTTTTGGTGATGTTTTATTTGATCAGACCTTGGAATTACCTGATGCTGGTTTATGCTCGCTTCTTGATGATAACCATTCCTAGCATGACAACTGCATGCAGTTCCTACGAGTTTCTTCTAGGTTGATTTGGGTCTGCATCTACAGCATTTGGGTGCTTCGCTACGGTGAGACAACTACACATTGGATGGTGGCAGTTTACACGTGTCCTTGTCCCCCAAACTGAGAATAACCACCCACGACCCAACCAACATCCTCTCCCTTGGGCCCCTTGGCTAAGGAGCACTCTCACCGTGACTTACGTGTTTAAGTGCTTGCAACTTTTCATGTCAAAGAGCGGGAAAGGAACCCAAGCTTCGCACATATCTCATTGATTGGTCCGGGAAGGACGTCACACTCACAGAGGGGACCAGGTATATCACAAAAAAGGAGGAAACACGTCTCATCTGCCGATGCAGTGTCGATACCCTGGGCTCGCCCCGCCTGCGACAACGCCATGACAGGGCGACAGGGGTGAAAACGTGTGGGCGCGTGTGGGGTGGGTGCTGTGACCTGTGTCATATAGGCTTTGCAGGTAGAAGGGGTCCAGCATGGAATCAGTTAGAGTCTGGGTGCTTTTGGCCAAGGAACCATTCACTTATCGGATGGGTGGAGGATCCCTGGGAACGTCTGTTTTTCTTCATGTGACCTATAGCCAGATCTGGGATTCGTAAGGGGTGATGACACATCCACTTCGAGAAAGGGTGAGCCGGGTGAGCCAGCACAACGAGAGAACTCAACGGATCCTTACTTGAAGTGATCACCCCATTGGTGTCGTTCTGTGTCGTTCCAAAGAAACCCCCCGCCCTGGGTTGGTCGATGCGGTTCTGGGACTTCCAGAGTACTGAAACGTTTTGGCGAAACGCTCGCTGCAGCGCTGAAGCAAAATGGATGGGCAAGTATCCACGACAAATACTTGAGATTGCTGCTTTGCTTGCTGGTTTATCTGTTCATCTCTTTAGAGTTGTTTCAGTCTGAAATCTAGTTCCTGGATGCCCTTCTGTAAGAGAAGGGGTGTATATAGTGCTGGAGTCTTACAGAGGACACAAGAGTTCTGCTCGACGTGGATTTCTTCCTTCATAGGCTAGGATCGGATCGCATGGAATTGAAGTGGGAGGAGAACAAGATTGCAAGACTGATGTGTGTGTGTGTGTGTTCCTGTTTTTTTCAACACCTCCAAGAAAGTCTGCCACTCTTGAAGAGCAAGCTATATCTGACTGGCTGAAAAAAGGTCGAGGACCGCAAACCGCGCAGCTCCTCAATGACCCCCAAAAAACAGCTCCGCAGAACGGTTCCCTGGTTCTTCGGGGTGCTTGGGGTAAAAATCGATCCTACTCCAGTCAACCCCACCCATCTACTCCCGGTTGGATGGAGCCCGGTCCGACCGGTTGCTGGCCCATCGTGTGGATCCGAAGGGCGCTGGAAAGGTTTCACTTCTTTCAAGGACAGGTAGTAGGTGGTTTGCATTATAGCCCCAACGAGTTTGAGAACGGACATGAATGGACACCAACATCGCCAATCAAGGGTCTATCTTTGGAAAAAGGATAAAGACCAGCAAAATCAGAAAATACCTCAAGGGTTATTAAGGGTCTTTGTGCCTTCGAAGGTTTCGTACCACAATTTGCACTGTGCACCGCTGCGGTGCTGAACCCAGGCTTCCCCGCAGCCACAGCAGGGCCTTCCACGGCCAAGGCTTCACCTTGGAGCGGAGAACTCCACCCTATTGGTCGACTCCGTTTCTCACCGGAGTTCAAAGGAGGCAAGACGTTGCAAAGTGTTCTTCTTTTAAATACGCTCCCCATGCAAGTTCAACATCCTCGTGTGAAATCTCAGCACGTCGCATCGAAAGCCCTGGCCCTGGCCCAACATGACTCTCCCGAAACACGGATGACTCGCCCGGCGCTCGGGGCAGGGAACTCACCGACGCCATAGGAGGGATCGACTTGTTGACCAATCGCCTTGGTGCAAAGGCCGAGGTTCTCCGCGAGGAACACGCAGCGAGGAGTGGGGGGGGCGTTGGAGAGGGTTTATTTGGCCGAGGGCATGGTTGCTCTTAGCAGATGGTTGGTTAAGTGTATGAGCTCAAGCAGATATAGGCATGTAAGGAGGATGAAAGAGGAAAGCGACTACATCGAAAGAAAGGAAAAAAACACAATATCTAAAACATATTCGGGTGTCAAAGCAATCCAGAGTCCAGAGTGGAGCGCAAAAAACTGGTCTCACCAAATCGCTGCTTCATGCGCAACTCTACGCTGATCGAATCGAATCCACTTAAAGACTTAAACATGGTCGGGTCTTCACTCCAAGTGCTCCAAGCTACAGCACTTACGAAACCAGAAGCTCGGTCGGTCTAAGCTGCAAATTCAACATAGTGGTCCTGGTCACCTCTTTTCCAAGACAACACATGCTCCAGTAACAAGAAGCTACTAGTAACAAAGGGCATCGCTAACGGAGCGATCGGACGCTACGAACGTAGCTCCTGGCATCTCCTGGCCTTACTATTAGGAACAAGAAGCTACTAGGAGCTCCTGGCATCGCTACTAGGAGCAAGGACGCTACTAGGCCTTACTACTAGGAGCAAGGACGCTACTAGGGGCTCCTGGCCTTTGCAGATCCTAACTCCTCTGCAGCTCGGACACCATGAGTTTTTCCCTTTCTCCCCGCCAAGTCGAACAGCAAGCCGGACACCATGAGGTGCCGTCCAGTTGCCAAGAACCGGTGCCGTCCGGTGCACCAGGAGCTCCTCCATAGGTGGCACAGACTGGAGATCCTTCCTGGCAAAGTGGGGTTGGAAGAGGTCAAAACCCGGAACAAGGGCTTTCCACCTTCCGGGTAGGTCAACCAAGTTTTGACACATAAGTACCATCTTCTATGAGAGTAAGATCCATCAGAGTAGGATCCATCTCCAACCGACCAGAGTAAGGATCTCAAACAGAGAGTGGGATCCATCTTTCTGAAGGGAAGGGATCCATTAGCCAGCGCAGCTGGCTGGCGGGATTCCATGGCGTAAAACATATTCTGAACTCAACCGAATCAAGCAGCTAGCAACGACGGTGCGTGCAGTGTATCTGATCGAGCACCCTTTCAACAAGCAAAGTCGAGCAAGGCACACTGTGACCCGCTAACATGGATGTGGATGGGCATAGGCCCGTGGAAGCCAGTGTTGCCCCTATGAACAGCAGGCGTTCGACGTCCGTGTTTGTGAGTGGGAGAGCAAACCTAAACTGTTTCCACCTTATATCTGTGTCACTCGCAAAGAATGACATCACTATGGACACTCATGGTCACGCCACACACAACCCAAGAAAGTACAACATGCCACAAGCGAACTACTTGCCACATACACTGACCTGTTCACTTCTCGATTGTGCCAGGGGCATGCGAATCGTATCATTTCTATCAACCCTTTCATACTGGGAAATCAATCGAACATCAAGGGATCGGTCAGGGAGCGTGGCAGGCGGATGTTTCACGGACCTCAAAAAAAGGATCCCATCTTAACAGGCCGAAGTTGCAGGCCCACGCGTGGTCAGGTTCCAATCCTCAAGGCCGGTTTGGACCAGCAGTTCCAACCGAACGGTTTTGAAGATGTGACAAGGGCAACCTATCCTCCAAGTTCGGCACCCTGACATGGAACTGCTGGTACCACTTGATGTTTCAAAGACAGTCGGGTCGAATTTGCAAGGGTTTTCTGCAACAAGCCGAGAGAAGAACCACATGGATGTTGGCCACTTTTTGTAGACAATCACGTTGCATACAAGTTCAAGATACCACTGGGCAAACACATCCGAAAAAACCAGCATGACGACCAACAAAAGCAAAGCATCAGGGGATATCAGTGGTTTATGCCAGCTGGTGGGAAAGCTTCTCAAGCTCTTGGTCATCCACACAAGGTCAAGTAGTTGGGCTCCGAGTCCTGCTCAGGTCGAATCAAACTCTTCTTGCAAATGAAGAAAGGCCCCGATGAATCTCCCTGGAATCATCATGGATACGTGCAGACACAGCCCCGATTTCGGATGACCATCTTCCAAATGCCAAACAGGTGGTGAACTCCACTTCCATGATGATTCCAAGGAGTGTAGGATGCCCCCCATGATGCTGTAAGAGAATCCTAGGTGCCTTGGGTGACCCTCTTCGTCAACACTACCACAAAGTCCCTCTAAACAGGGGAAGGAGTGGCCGCCTGCTGTGGAGGATGATGGATACTCAGGATCTGATTCGCCTGATAGACACATAAAGTATGTCTGACTTGTTTGGCGACAATGGAACACGCGTGAGAAGCAAGTCTGTCGACATGGGTGGAACACCCATCTCGCATCTCTTGAAACGAATGGCTCCAGCAAACTGAGGGGACGAACAAAATCGACATCCACAAAAGCCAGCAGCTACCAGGGTTGTGCCAGGCGGCCCCAAAAAAGGCCTTGCCTCGGCCAACAGCTGAGGCTCTGGCGACTGATGACCAGGGGTCATTGACCGACAAGATCTGACGCAGCGGCAAGGAGCGGAGAGGCTGGCTGCTGGCTGCGGCCCAGCTGGTTGCGATTCGCACCCTAGGGCCGCTAGGAGCCATGTCCAATGGAGTTGAACTAGGAGCAAGCCTCACCAAATGGGCTTGCTAGGGATCGGCCCATGAATACTAAGTTACTAAGTCTGATGGGCTGGCTGGGCTTGTGCAAGAATGATTCCATCATCATTCACCATGTTAAGCTATCTGACACGAGCTGCTTTCACTTGTCACCATATTATCAGCCCTGCATCACGTATATTTACAGACTATGACCATGGTGGCAATTGGTAACACCTCAATCTTAACGGATGAATTCAGAATCACATGTGACCATCCAACTAATAACACATGTTGCTGATCTTTAAGCCTTAAGGTTGATTGGAGTAGTTGAGAGAAGCCTGTGTTCAAAAAGGACCAGCTTGGTCGGCCGCTTCGGGTCTTGTTGCCCTTGGCGAGCTACAACAATAGCGTCTTCAACTTTACAATGGTTTCAGAGTAGATGGGACAATCCCCAAAAGGTTGTTTATATGGACCCCCATATCAAGGACATCTTTGGGTTTGTGCCATCTACTCTGAAACAATGGTAATCAGTTCTTCTGTTCAAAGGCTTGGGCAACTTGGGAAGACTGGATGATTCATCAAACGAAGCGACCTACAGCCACCTCTTAGCACGAATGTCCGGAAGACCAGCTCACATCCGCTTCAGAAAGGGTCAAAGGGATCGCATGGAGGTATCTTCGGCAAAGTTTGATGTGCTTCCTTCACAGCTCATTGAGTTGACAGCACTTTGAATGCAAATTCAGAGAAAACTTCCTCAAACCTTGCCCCAACCCGTGGACAATCAGCCCAAACCTGCCTTGTTCAACCATATATGTAATATGGAACCCCCCGAGGATCGTCACAGACCGAGGATCGTGTCACCCGGGAAAACGTGCACCTGAGCGACTTCCTGCAGGGTGGGGTTTCGCACGGAGATCGAGAAGCCATAAATCAGCTCGCCCTTGAGCCTTAACCGGTCACTGTGCTTTCTGCCACCCAAGGAGTTGGCGTGTGATGGCCTTGAACTCATCAATCTGGAAAAACATCCAATCTCCAACTGACCAAGCGATTAGATCCAAACTGATCCGATCCCAAAGACACATTTGTCGACAAACGTGGTCAAGCAAAACATCTCTGGCCTGTGTACGGTTTGATTTTTGCACCAAGAGTGTTCAGAAGTTGCGATTCCTACAGTAAAGCAACCATCTAAATCCACAACCTTCTCAGAAGCTTTGTTGCACCCTTCAAAGGCCACTTGAGACCTCCCCAACGACCCCCCAACATTGTTTGCTTCCTCGCCGGATCCCTCATCTTCCCCAAACTAAGCTTCCAGACGGCCCCTGCACAAAGATGCGCGCAATGTTGTAGGGCCCAGAGGTCCGTCCACTCTCCCTGAGGCTCTGACAACCTGAGGAGCGAGCGACGTCGCTGAGCTGCGACGTCTGGGGCGAAAACAAACGAAAGCGCAGCAGGTGAAGCACAGCCGGGACCGGGAGGGTCCCCCAAAGCCCTTGTGGGACATGGGGGTCAGCTTGTTGGGACACTCGGTAGTGGCGCAAATGAATGGTTTTATGTGCCTAAGATCGGTTCTGGGCAGCACATTGGTGTTCAAAGGAGCAAGGCGCCTTACTACTAGTAACTAGTAACAAGAAGCTACTAGGTGGAGGCCATCGCTATCAGGGTGGAGGCCATCGCTAGCTAGGAGGCCATCGCTACGAGTAACAAGAAGCTACTAATATTTATGGGTTATGGGCAGCGCCTATGTCGTCCTATGTACACTATTTCGCCGCTGACCTTGAGTCGATAAGGCCACATTAATCATATCATATCAATGATGACTATTTATGTTGTGTGCCCTTCTTTCTCTTCACCACCGCCCTTTCACCTTTCATGGACTCAGGGTCCTGCCAACCATCTTGGGGAGTCGGTTCACTGCAAGAACTGGGCCGGTGACGTAGTACCTGGGCAGAGGTGACATCCGGGCGGGGACTCAAGGGGTTGGCTGGACTAATCATTCGCAAGGACTTGAGCACCAAGGGCTTGAAGCTCCAAAGGGAGCCCCCCACACTGGGGGGGTGAGTACCTGGATCCTGATCTTGCATTTGTGAAGACATTGGTCCAAATCCTGAATCCAAAAAGATGCGGATTTTTGCGGGATGGAATGATGACCAAAGCAATTCAACGGAATTCCTGAATTCCGTTCTTCTTCCTCTTGTTTCGAGAAGCAATTCCTGGGCTAGACTATCTGGAGGTGTGTGGGGAACCTTAGACTTGCTACAAACCAAGGCTCACCTTCTTCTTCTCTTGCCCTAGTTGTTGCACAGCAGGATCGAAAACCATTATTTTACGAGATTTGTATTTCATGTCTGCGCTACCTCGTGAACCAGACCTGCAAGACCAATCAAGCTGGAAGTGAGCTCAATACAAATAGCGGGTTCATGTCACCCCCTAAACCCTCGCTGAAAAAAGCTACCAGTAGTATTATAGTACACATCGCCTTGAAGAATAAGGCTGGAAAATCGATCAAACATACCCCTTGCATCTCCTTGCTGCAAACCCAGGGAATTCTTTGAGTGTGTAGCTAGGATTTGGTGTGAGGCTCATGAGGGCGTTCTTTGGAGATGGAAAGAAATGGACCATGAGGGCACCCAGCATCCTTCAACCACCTTTCAACCTGCCAATCTCTGAGTCTCCGAGCCCAGCATCAAGGTCAATGGCTGCACAGGGGTCTCCGAAGTCAAAGACAGAGGCAGCCTTTCGAGTTGGGAAGGAACTGAGGGGAAAACGAGCCTCCGAGAGCCTCCAAGAGCCTCCAACCATTGGAGGTGCGAAAAGGAGAAGGTGGGGTCACCGTGATCACCATGGGAGGATACTTCTGATGTGAGGATACTTGTGACTGTTCTTGGTGCAAAAAGCTACAGCATGCTACAGAAGGAGTTAGAGAGAGAGAGAGAGAACTGATCCTTTCACCATCCACCATTCGCCTGAGATAGGTGAGCCACTTGATGTGGTCCCTTCTTAGTTGGCTGTGGATCCTGTCGAACCTTTTCCCAGTGAGTTTTATGAACAAACGATTGTACCTGGGCGTGTTCATCCATCCCATATCTTTTTGCGCTTCTTTTTGGACTGCCATCGCGGCAGTGGATCCCAGGATGAGGCCAGGGACGAGAGGGGCTCGACATCGACCGCCACCGTCTTCAACATGCGATCGGATCGAAGGTCTCTGTAGGGTGGGAGATCTTAGCATCACAAGCTCCATTGCGCCACCGTCTCGACTGTAGCTCCATCTCTGCCAGGACAGGTGGACAGGTGACTTTTGTCCGACTGTCAGGTGACGTCTTTCGCCACACGAAGGCTGAACATGAAGATGGCAGGGTACAGAAACCAAAGGACCAGGCCAAGGCCCCACCTCGTGGCTTTCGTGGCTTTTGTGGGATCAACATCTGCTCCATGCGTTGTACAGGTAACACTCTTGGTTAACAACAGATCGAAACATATGAATTAGATCATGTTTTGTTTCTGTGTTTCTTGCTTTACGAATCTTGCTAACTGTCGCTGGGATCGCGTCTGCTCCCTGGTTTACAGTAGAACATTATTATAAGACATAAGATCGACATCGCTTTGGATCACCTTTGAGTCTATTTGGACTAAGTCCAAGTCGCCACCAAATGGCATGGCCAAGACGAATGAAGGTGAGAAGCTCATCCGCGTAGTCAGCATAGCACCAGGCCACATTCTGGCCGAAAATCCATTGGATGGCCAAGCCCTGTGCGATCTCCAAGAGCCAAATATTCACCTGTTCATGTTCCCGGTGGAACATGTGGACTCTCTTAGAACGTCAACAAGGAGCAAATGGCCGACCACATGACATGGCCGTTGCAAGGCACAGGGTGAAGATATTGACAACTGGTGGTATGGCTGGATTGGAATGATGTTGGAAGAATTTAGAGATGCACTGACTTGGGAATTAGCTCAGAACTTAGACCCGACCATCTGAGAACCTTCTTCTCCTTCTGGTGTTGGTTCTCTAAAAGAAAGACCTTACTATCCACCTATAACCCATTTAATCTCCTTTTTGGTAGAAAAAAAATATGTTGGATAGTTCATCCTCCAAAATAGAGGTCGCTCAGGTTCTATCTATGTATACATATATGGATTGTGCTCGCCCAGTTTGACTCCATTTGACTCCCATCTTGACGTCGGACGTCAGCCCGGCCGGGAAGAGGAAGACATAAAGCCTTGGAGAATCTCCGAGGAAGTGTCCGTACCAATCCAGCAGCACAGGCATGTACACCAAGTTTCCCAGGAATTGAGCAAGGCTTGTATAGGCCTTGCCTCTCTCGAAAAAGGTAAAGCCACACCTGCAGATGCAGAACTTCTGCACTTCGCACACAGTAATAGGCTTCCTAAATCTATAGGGTTTTAGGGGTGGGAACCGACGGACCAAACTCCACCACCGGGTGTAGCCGTGTAGCCGGTCCACAGTTGGTGCAGGGTTTGGTCAGTCCACCGGCTGTGGCCATGGCACTCTACGAAGCTGTAGGCCAGGGACAAAAGCAAGCACCGGAACTTCAAATCCACCGGATACAACCAAAGCCAAAGGCCCAAAGCAAGTAGGAGAACTGCTTTCCGGCTCCTTTTCGAGCGAAAATGAAAGCGGAGATCTTCGAATGCCCGAAATGTGGATATGCAGTGGAGACAGAACCACAGCAAGTACATCACTCTGAAATGAATCAACACAAATCAATTACAAATCACAAATGATTCATAATTCACTATCCTTCCAGATCCAACAGCCTCATCCAGCCAGGCGGTGCCTCCTCTTGATTGGGTGACAGGTGAAGTGCAAGAATTTCGGGCCGTCTTGGCCATAGACCGCTTGGACCTTCTCCAGACCTGGACCAACAAGACTTGGAACATGTAGCCGAGAGACACGAGAAGAGTGTCAGGGTGAACCTGAAATTCCACCCTAAGACTGGAGGGAAGTTCCAATTCCCTAGGGTTTCTGTCCCATATCCTGAGGTTCGGTGGGCACAGAGCCTCAACCAGCACCCACCCCAACCACACTCTCGGTTGGAGCCCTGGGGAAACAAAGCACATGTCTTTGGTCAAAACTCTTTGTCGGATGGGATGCGTCATATACAATATCTGAATCTGTATGAGATTCGTTCAATTCTTGAGAAAAGACATGTTGCCGGGATGCAGGAATCTCGAAGCGCGTTCAGGGGCATGCGGAACTCTGTGTTGACACCCAGAATCTTGTCCAGTCCCTAGGTCTGTAACAGGTATGTTTGTGGACGTTCAGCGATGTGTTTCTTGATCTTGAAACCTATTTCCAGTAGCGCCTGGAACACAAACACGTCATGCTTGCTCGTTGTACAAACAAACGGATCGTCCAAAAAATGGATGTATATGGATGGTGCTTACTCGGCCTCCTTGAACCAACATCTTGACAAACGCCTGGTGCCAGGATATCAAATTACGTTAAATTAATATGATCTAGATATTACTGGGAATCCAGTGTCACTTTCTAGGGATTTCTCCTGTCACTGCATCCATTGACATTGTACAGTGTTGATCAACCATACATCCAAACCCCCAAGCCCGCCATGTCCAACCTTTCTCCAGCTCTTCTCCGGTTTTCTTCCAAAACAGCCAGCGCAAGGGTGGCGCGGAGATCATGGCCATCACGGACGAGGAGATCGCCGGCATCTCCCCGTCTTGGACGAAGCGGAGTGTGAGTTGTGGGCAGTGGAGGCATTGGTGGAGCGGGCATATTTCACCTCTGGAGAAAGGTGATTACCGTAAGATGTCCAAGGACTATCAAGGGACAGTGATTCAATGTCAATGAAATTCAGCATTCAAGGGACTGCCCTCTTGTTCAACGGACAGCCCAGCTTGAAAATACTTTGATTCTCTACTTTTATATGCCTCCAAAGTAGGAACACGTTCACAAAGACCTAAGACGCTTTGAGCCCCAAGCGCGACGAGTTAGGAAAACCTGCACGGTGTGGAAACATCTGCAACGTTGACCGACAGGGTGTGTCCGCTGATATCATCGATCGCACGGGAGTACCCTGAAAGCTTGACATGAGGCTTAGGATATGTGACAGGTATAGGGAAGTATGCACTTGAAGTGCACTTGAAGTTCTTGAACTACCCTCCCACTCACTGACATACTTCAAACAATCCCCATAGGGGACGAGGTTTAGCATGCGAAGTGCTGTGCAGTGGCCACCCCAGTTTTGAAGCTCTTGGCTCACCATCAGCTGCCAACCACTTGACTGCGGTCTCCGCGGTCCACGGCTGACGGCTGAGAATCGCTTTCCCTGCTAGGGTCACGCAGTCCTATCGGAACAAGCTTGGACCACAGGACAAACATTTCACTTGGCCTGCTCACCTGCAGATTGGGCACCCAGTTTGTTGCCCTGCTTGGTCCTTCCCCAACCTGACAACCCTGAAAGCACCAGAACACCGTTCGCTTCCGACCGACTCGTGACGTCCGTCGGTTCCGCGTCGACGCCAAAAAAAGGCGCCTCCACGTCGACCGACCCGCCGGCCGGGACATCCTCCACCGCGCGGAAGAAGATGGACAACCTGATGAAGGATGCAAACCTTGAGAAAGGTGACAAAGACATAGAAACTGAGAAGGGGATGAACATCCTTTCTGGCGCAAAGAGAACATCACCCGGAGCAACTCCATGAGAAGGGAGAACTGAACATGGATGAACATGTAACGTGGGTATCTGTTTGTATAGCTTCCGATGAGAAGAAAGCACGTTAGTTTTTGAAAGTCTGTGTCACTTCGACAGGACTCGGACAGGACCTGAAGAGTACGAGTGCTTCTTCAGATCATTAGCGGATGAGCAAAGACCTGGCTATGTAGTAACAAGTGCATCGCTACTAGTAGCTTCTTGTTAACTATTATAGTAATAATGCACTTGCTACTAGTAGCGATGCACCTTGTTACTAGTAGCTTCTTGTTAACTAGTAGTAATGCACTTGTTACTGGTAGCGATGCACTTGTAAATACAAGTCAAAGACTCTATTCTTGTGCATTGTTTTCTGGGCTCCAACATTCAAGAGGACTTCTTCCATCCGCCACTGAGCTCTGAGGCCCCCAGCGGTTGGATGATGGGAACCGCGCTGGAGACCATTGGGTCGACTGGTTGGATCAGAGCCTGGGGTGCTCCCGCAGGCGAGACGTGTGAAGGCAAGCGAACAGAAGTGTAGCAGTTCTTCCTCAGAAAGGCAGGAAGTCTTAAAATACTATAAGGTTTCTTCTCTCCATGACTTGATCAGACCAGATCTCAGAAATTGCTTGGCCTTTTCCCTGCACCTGCTTGCTTGCTCTGATCCCTGGCTCCAAAAAACGCCCACCGGGTCCAACCGGGGTCCCGGGCGTTTTGCAAGCGCCCCAACACCGGCACGCCGCCCAGGCCCGTCCGGTAGAACTTGGCCTTGGCCCCCCCCCCCCCCGTTCTTCACCGGTGCGGGGGCACGCGTGGACGCTCGATCCGCGCGTCCGGCGATCAGCGATGGGCGCGTGGCGAAGCTTTTTGGGACTGGTGCGACTCATACGGAATGAGATGGAATGAGGGAATGACCCTGCACTGCGGACTCCTCACGATCTATTTGCTCCTTACAAGTCACACCAGCGTTCGCAATACTAAGCCACTTTGAGGCAAAGGATGGGGGATGACGACGGTCACATGGCTCCTGACAAGAGGGTGCCTGTCGGAATGTGTTGTTCAACTGAGTGCGGATGCACAAACCCAAATGGGACCCTTTTTTTCCCACATAGACAGTCTTGGAAAGTATATAAGGACTTCTTCCGTGTGACAGGTTGCTAGAGGTCAGGGGGAGATTGTCCATCAGTCACCTCAGTTCTTCATTGTGCAAGAAACCTTGCAAATGGTCCGAGCCAACTGTATTTAGAGAGCATGGTCACAATCCAGATCTCTTGCCATGTTCAAAACGAAGTTCTAGATATTGTCTGGCCAAAAGCTCCAGCCCGCCATACCATCATTGGCATGTGTCCTACAAATGCTATCTTACTTGGCGGAAATGCAACACAAACTCGGGGACTCTGCCCTTATTCTCTGCCCTGCATCAATGACAAAGGCTCACCTATAACTACGCCAGACTTGGTGGCAAACGCTGAAGTTCACCACAGTGTCATTGTGATCTCCAGGAGAAAAGACCTGTGCAGGACCCCCGGAGGGCCTGCAAGGCCCTGCGGGTGGTGTCAGACTTGACAAACGCCAAGCATGCAACGAACCCTGCAGACCCTAACTACTGTGTAAGAAGTCCAAGACGAATTGGTCACTGCGATTTCCAACAAACTAAAACACGGACAGTCCCGGTGTAAAACACCGGTTGGTTGGACCGACCTCTCGAGTCCGACGGAACCCGAAAGCCGACGGCCTGAAAGTGAGCCGACTTGGCGCTCCGAAGTGAAGAATGAAGACCGAAGCTCAAACCGGCTAAGTCATGGAAGAAACTGAATGTTGCCCCTCGGGGTCAGCAGTGAATTTCAGGATCACACAAGTCCTCGAGTCTTCAGGGATCAAGTCTTCTGTGATTTGTCCATCCCAAGGATGCACCAAGGACAAGAGTGGAAGATGACACAAAGACACAAAGCAAACACATTAAGCTATAGGGAGTATGTCTTAAGCTAGGGCGACCTCCCAGTTCGATCGACCTCCTTTTCAGGATCGGAAAAAGCGACCAAAACTACCCAGCGAGGGCGACCGGGGGGTCTCACTGACGTACACCACCCACCATCGAGTTTCGACACCCTACCCTAGGGGCCATCTGCGAGGCCCAGCGAGGCCTGCTGGTACGTCACATGGCTGTAGGTCAAAACCAGGCTACCCGGGTTGACCAGCGAACATGTCAGAATAGAATACATGGTCAACCTTCAGGTTTTGACCCACAGCCACATCAAACTCTAGAATTTTGTAGAATTATTGGTTCATCAGTTCATCCCCGACCGGGGGACTTGCACTGACAATGAAGAGCAGGAATGGCAGGTCCAACGTGAAATGCCACTCTTCCCACCTGCACTGACCAAAGGTTCAGCGTGTTGGTGATGGGCAGGCTTGTGTTTCCAGGGTAAACTCGAAGACCTTAGCACACATGCGAAGGCGTCTGTGAGCTTTTCGTGCGTACACTCGTAGCTATGGCTTCGGCAGGCAAACAAAGAGCCTTACCAACGTGCAATAGAAAGCAACAGCCCAACAGCTCAATCATATTCAATCCACAGGTCCTTAGAATCTTCAAAATATATAAAAATATATTTGTTTATTCTTTCTTTTGGACAAGAAAACCATTCCCCCAAAAAGGCGCATCAAGACTACAGTTACTGCCTGTGGCATACCTGCTATGCCTGCTACTGCTCTCCTCTTCCATCTTCACCATCTTCACCTCTTCTCTGGGTCACCCACCCATCACCAGTGAGGTCATGGCAGGGATCAAACTCCGGTCCTTGTGCCACGAGAGATCGAGCAAAGAACGCAAGGTCCATGGTCCGACTGGTCTCCGGTCGGACTGGTCGCCGGTCGGGATCAGGGCACCCAAATCAAGTCGGGTAGTCACTCCGGAGTCATCCGAACATGTGTTGCTGATGTTGCTGGTTTCATGAAGGTTCCGCCTCACAAACTGTCATCGCCCCGCCAAAATCATCCAACATCGTTCCATATGTCCAAAATCAGCGATCTATATAATTTGGATGTGATCCCTGAAACGTCCTCTTGGCACCGTTTCTGCTGGTGTTCCCGGTGTTCCCTCATTTGGGTCTCCATCTGTGGCCCAGCAATTGACACTGAGATACGGTCATGGAGAGTCCTGATAAGTGCCATGGGAAAAGGACAAGCAATGAGATAGAATGTAATATTAATATTCATTATTGATATTGTTCCTTTGTTGATGAATGTAATCCCCCAAATGCAACCGCTTGATCCAGTCAGGTAGGGAGGTTATTCAACAACAGTCAACAGTACAAAAATCTTCCTGGGACGAGTGGGATGGGATGAAATCAATTTATCTTGGAGAACCAGATCTTTTTTCACACTGATATTCAACTTTTCCGCTCCAACTCTACTGCACAAACCCAGCACAAGGCACCAGCTTTGCTTGGGCCCTGGCCAAGAGCTTATAGGTTGCCTCTCGACCCAAGAAACTCCATCCGCTGAGATCTGGCCTAGGTTTTGGAGATCTATCGAGATGTTGGACACTCTGCATGGGCTTTTTGGGCTGTTTTCTTCACTTTCAAGACTTTCAACGTTTTCGCCCTATTTCACCTCACCTCCCCTTTCGACCTGTTTGGAACAATCTGACAGTCTGACAAGTTGGGTCGATTTGTCAAGACGAAAACGGCTGAGAAAACCTCGCACCGGTCTCTGGTCGGTAGATGTCGGGAATTGGGGGTGAGATGGGATGGCGGCCCCCAGCGGACCGTTGATTGACATTCTCAAGCGTTTTGAGGTTGTTGATCACATTCACAATATCTTGGGGGAGCACAGCCTGTAAAACGTTCTGTTGAGGAATCTGGAATTCTCATCAACTGGTGTCACTGCCAATTTGATAAAGGGAAGAATCATTGGACATGAGTTTCCCAGCCAGGACATCCAAGACCAGCGCACTGTCCGACAGTTGCACCGTATGGAGTTTCTTTTTTGGAAGCACACAGGGTTGATCTTTCCTCCCTACCAAGAGAATTTTGCCCGCCCGGAACTTGTCCTTTGCCTGAACCAGGGAGACAGATCTGATCCGAAATCCTCGACAGAACTAAGGTGCACGTTGTTTTTGGAGGCTGTGCGGGTTGTTTGGAACATTGTTTGAACCACCATGAAAGTTTCCTTTACATCCACCAGATCGAAGATATCATGGTTCGGGCACACACCGATGACATTGCATCGCAGCGGGATGTGGCCCCCACGCTTAGGAGATTTGGACAAGGTCCCCATGTCATTCGTGGTGAGGGGCAGGTCAACAACAAGGGATTCCGGATGCCAGAGGAATGACCATGCCAGAAGCATCAGCGTTGGCGCGTACATACCTGCCCGAAACTCACTTTGTGCGGAGACGCGCGTGGATTCAGAAGACATGAACAGTATCCAGTTACTGGTCAGATGATGAGCTGCGCAGGTTTCCTCAGATGTTTTCTGTCCGAGATACCTGGCTCTCATCCCTCGAATCCAGCAGTGGACAGACCTTCCAGCCGTGCTGGGAAGCTCACCATGTTGCCTAAGGATCCGGACCCGAAAAACCAGGGTTTTAAGGTTACAAACCCTTGGTATAGAGGTTCGACCCCTGCTATGGAGGGTCGAAGGATCCTTAGGCTTGATCATTAAGTTGGCCTTCCAACCTGCATTCCATTACGACCTGTCAAAGCTTGATGCCTCTGATCTGTACGGCTTCCGCAGGTTCCAGGGGGATCAACCGGAAGTCCGCCAGGCTGGGTCGTTCTATGTCGGTGTTCCAGACGAGAATGGGCACCAGGTTTGCAAAGCGTTCCGAACGGGCAGAACTGGCGGCAGTATTGAGAGTAGTTCCAAAAAACAAATTGGGCATCTTGTGCCAAGATTGTCACTGCCCCTAAGTATGTCATGCATCAGCATGAAATAGAATTAATCTGGAAGCTGTAGTTCCTGCCAAGTTTCAACATCGTCCTAGTTTTGATGTGTTGCAGAAACTGTTTACTTGTCAACCACCAGGCTATGCTCCTTCCACCCAGGTTCGCTTTCGTTTTCGCTTCCACGCCAGTCCTGCAACGTAAAGACGTCGGCACCTGATCGAGCTGCCAAAGCTCGGAGAACCATGGCACCACTGCGAGAAGACATTGCCTTCACGAGAAGTCATGAGCGCGCACGAGAGGTCATGACTGGAGACCTTGGCCTTGGCACTGAACTGGAGACTTTGCGGACCACTTTGCTGCAGAAATTGACAACTTTGCTGCTGGCTCCAGACAATACTGTACCGCCAATTTCTTTCATCCTGAAATGGCACACATTCATGCCTTTCCAGCTACTTTGTCGCATTCTCTTGCCTCTCGATATAGTCTGTGCACCATTGACTTACACACCTTCAATGGCCAATTGAGGCCTTTCAGGCAGAAGCAGCACCACCGGGTTCCATTGTACTTGACTCGCTTGAGTTCCCATTGTATTGCCAGTGGCACTCTAGTTCTATTGGCCACACTGCGTTGCATCCTCTCGTGATGTGCCGCAATTGAGACACCTGACACAGCATTCGGGTCAACCGTTTGATATCCCTGTCATGGAATCTTAGCAACGTTCGAATGCTATGAGAGATTGTGAGTTTTTGTTTCCAACAGCACTCTCTTCTTCGAGCAAACGATTGGGGTGACATCCTTAAATTGTATAGATTGCATGTTCCAACGGCAAAAGAAAGGAATCTGGTTCCAACCTAAGTTATGCTGTGTAAACCAAGTGCCGCAGATCCTTCAAGATTATATACTTTCGCACCCACATTTCTCCCAACTTCCACATTGATGAATCAAACGACTGCAGTCTCCCGCGTCATACGTGTTTATCCGATTTAAACATACATAGCACTACCGTACCAAAATCTACTTCACCTGAACAAACAATGCCTCCCTTGGAGAAACAAAGATTAAAACTATACTCTTGCAAGGTCACGAAATTGCTCAAGCAAACAACATGTAATGGGGTAAATTACGATGTTTCTGCAGTTGGATTCGCCAACAAAATCTTGTACAGTGGTGAACAAGAACTCCGTGCAGTTCCAGGCCACCTCTCTTTTGAGTTGGAAGGCAGTTCCGTCACTAGCCAAACTGAACAGTTCCACGCATCCAAGTTTGCCGATCCCGCTACAGAAACACTCACCAATCAGCAAATGGACTTTTCCATGCACAAATGTTCAAGCATCCATCCTTGACCTCCGGTGACTCTTTTCAGAAATCACCAAGCAACGCCTGGAACGGAACGGCCGGTGCCGGTCACTTGCTCCGTCAGGGGGCGTGCCAAAGCCCGTGGGCGCGGGTTGCCGCGTCTCGTTGAGGCGAGAGACCTCGGTCGTTGAGACCGACCAGTCGACCGGGTTGTGCGTGGAACACACATCCGTATCCGTCAATGCCGTGCTACCTCTTGCCGCTTGGCAAAAAACAAACAAAAAACATCAAAAAACGCACACATCGGGTAACACGACTTGTGCAGGGTCTGCGCGCATCCCTTGAGTTCAACGGTATCGGCTGAAAAACACCGGGTCGTGACATGGTGAACGTCTCTTCGTTGGACCCCTCCGACGGGACGGTGAGTGCCACAGACATGGCTTCCGTGACCCCTGCTCACCGCGTGACCGGGATCGCAGCACCTGGAACTTTCGGTGCTTTAAACGTGTTGAAACCTGAAAGCATGTGGTCTGGAGTCAGATGTCGGGGTGGTTTTTTGGTCCCATGTGAGTGAAAAAAGAACTGGGCACTGCCCCTAACCTCGAATGGGCGAACAGTGACTCCTGGTTGAAGCATGTTGCTTGTGCACTGGAAATTCTGTCTTCAATGGCTCTGGTGGTTTCGATGCCAAGGCCCCGGCTGCATCGCCTTCGTCGGAGAGTGTGACCTTTCCGAGACCACTGCCTGGATGGGACGGAAGGCTAGGAATATATGCGCTGTTTTCAAAGTGGGTTGGATGGGACAGAATTCCCTCAAGTGGTACTGAAAAAATATCTGTGCAATTTGCAATAGAAGAATAGAACTCCCAAAATCCCATTTGTGACTGGTTTTTTCTGCCAGAGGGGTCTCACGGTCTCCCTGTGTCAATACACCCACGTCTACAAAGCTCGGTGGGTACCCTCTGCCTGCGCTACCACTGCGGATCCGTTTTGGATCGTCTGCCGTACAAGCCGCCGTGCAACCCGTTCACGGCCGATCAAGGCGAATGAGCGGATGAAACCCATGAGACGGACTATGTGGTTAATACTCCGATGAGCGGAGTATGGAACCGCGCTCAGATAATGTTGAATGCTCGGCTGATGATCAACTGTGAGGACTGTGACCAACTAGAGGGGTTTCCCTGCCAGGCAACGAAGAAGGGCACTAGACCAGTCTACCCATTGGGCCAGGGAATCTCTCTTTAAACTACAGACTCGTGCTTAGTAGGGAATGAGGGAATGAACCACCCCTGTAGATACATCAGGATCCAGCCACCCTTATTCCTTACGGGTCGCTCCAGTCAGATTAAACACGCACACACGTGAGATGAAGGACCTCTCAGATCTCTACCTGCAGAAGCTGATCTCTACTTTGAGACATTTGTTGGGTAGATGCAACTTCCATAGCACTGATGGACGTGTGATACACATTGCGAGGACGTCTGCAGGTTCAACCACGCGAACACGAGGGTCCAGCGCCAATGGCATGGCCTCCCCGCCAAACCCTGCAAACCCTTAAGACGGTGTGATGACACCAACTCAGGCGGCGCCCAGTGAGCACGTTAGCCCATTGTCTCACTGTCATCCACTTGGCACAAAGTGGGTTGGCCTCAAACGCCTTGGCACTGCGGACTACAGTACCGCTAAAAAGCCATTGCAGAGTGCCCCACACCAGGCCAGCAGTGTGACAAGTGCTCGTGTTGGATCGAGGATCCTGTACCAGAGCGCTTGTTGGGTAGGGCGAGTCATAGTGAACCCAGACAGCTTCAAAGAAAGGTCATCTCAAGCACATGCTGCTGGCCCTTCTGACAAGTGGCTTCGCCTGCGTCCTTCTCCGGGCTTCGACTTCAAATCCAAGGATGTATAAGAAGTCCTCTTATAGAAGAAGACGAAATGCAATCCTCTGCAAGAAAGAAGCAAAGGATGCAATGATCAAACGGTCTCAGTCCGTCTCTCGGGTCGGCTCGAAGCAAACGGTCATCGCTTCAGAGCTCGAGATCGATCGGTCTGTGGAGCAAGAAAGATCAGAACACGCAAATCATCGGACACCATTAAAGGAAGAGGAATCAACAACTTGTAACTTGCCTTGCCTGTAAAAAATGCAGGAGACAGCAGGTTTATGTTCGTTAACTCAGAATGCCAAAGGTTTGAGGATGGAAGCGATCGTGTTTCTATGGAGTTGCCAAAATTCCATGAATGTTCCAGACGAGTTGGCACATGTGACGTCCGCACCCTGTTGGATTGCCAACACGTTGTATGCGATGCTTGGAGTCAAATGAGTTTTTTGGTTATTTTTTCCTGGACCTTCCACGGTGTATTTGTTCTGCCCTTTGGCGAAAAAGGGCATAGTTATGAAGACCCTGGTATGATTAGTTATAATATATATATATATATACATTGTGCCTCCAAAAACCTTTTTTCTCTTTTTTTTTTTGGGTCTAATGTTTTTGTGTTTTTGCCCGAAAAGCACGTTTTCAGATGTTTTCAGAGATGAGGACTCAAAAAAAGGTACAATGTGAATCTTCATCCGGACGCGTCCGGTGCGGACGCTTACAGACGCCTTTTGGACTCAAAAAGACGCGTTTTGGACACCGAAAAAATGTCTCAGGACACCGTCTAAGGAGGATCTCACAGGGCACAAACAAAAAAGGAACATTTCGTGACATACGCAAAAAAAAAGTGCTTTCTTTCAAAAACATATTTTTCTTGGAAAGGCAAAATTAAAAGGGTCATTGGAGACTCAAGGTATATGCTGTATATATCTGTAGTGTCCAAATCCAGCTTGTATGGATCCAAGCTACGGAGTCAAGAAAGGCTCCCACTTAAACATAGGTGAAGAAATAAGACACTCCCTCTTTGAACTTGAGCTTCATTGCATCAGGACCACGAACTGAGTGCTTGGGTTCCCCCAAACCAATGTGGACAATAGACTACTCTCCGACTCATGAACATGGAAGTGGATGGTCCCTAAACGGAAGGAGTGTCGCGACTTCCATGTGACGTGATCGTCGGAGTGTATTAGTCTTCAGCTTCCACACAAAACACTCAAGCCCACTTTTGGGGGTCGACTGGGGTCGTTCCGTTCGGCAAGCCGGTCTCCTTCGTGAATCACCGGGACAGCTTCCAGCATCCGAAAGCCCTGAGTACGGTACGTCCGGGCGCGTCGACGGCGGGTGCCGTCTGGCCGCCATCGCACCGAGTTCGTGGAGAAATTGGAACAGGAATCCGAGAATCGAATGGCATTCTTGAAGTAAAGATTCATGGAACGGGCTCCACCGGGTCCACCTGGACTAGACTAAGCTCAATCCCCGAAGCATTGAGATCAATTGAGGTACTATTGAGGTCGACCTGGCACCGGTGCTGTGCGCCCACCTGGTCCCCTCAAACCGATTTGGTGAGTCAACAACTCAATGTCAGGGCAATTCATCCCTGGTTGGGGCTTTCAATCCACTTGAAAAATATTAGTCAGTGGGTTCAATCATTCCAAGTAGAGGTTGAAAATATATAGAAACAAATATCCGAAACCATCAGCTAGATCCAACAACGAGCCTAGTCTCTTACAGTAGCTTTCCGGTGGTTGACTTCGTGGGAACGGCAAGGGCAACGGTGATCAGTGACAAGAGGTAGGCCAGCTCGAGAGGCCGAGAGGCAGGCCAGTGTGCAGCAAAACATCAGGAGCTCCTCTTAGCTTTCTGCTTGGTTGGTGGAAATGGTTATTCTGTGAGACATGGTAGCAGCAATCCTGCTCACTCCTGAAAAGGGAGTCTTCTAGTGGATTGAGTGTAGTTTAGATGGCGCGATCCCCAAGTGTGGAGGTTTATATGGACCCTCATCCAAAAGTCATTTTGGGGTGCCAGTGCCATCTACTCCAAAACCACTGGAGTTCATCCCAGCTAAACCAAGGTTTGGCTTTCTCTCTCATGGCAACCTCTGAGCAGCCAGGCCGGCGGCGCTTGGATCACAAAGGAGGAGTCCGGCCGCACGTTTGGTGGTGGCCTCGGTGTTGGAAAGCTTACACTCTGACTCACTCACATAGAAGTGGGCCCTTGGAAGACCACTTTCCTTTACTAGCAACGTTGGTGTTTCCCTTCCATGTGCATGACGACCCAGAAAAGGTTCCGTCTCAAAAAGTATGACCAGGACCTATAGATCATCATCGTAGATGCTTGCTTTGGGGGGCTTTGGATGGCACCCGATTTTTCAGTATAGAAAGATCTGACCATCAACAAGGAGGGGAAGACCATAAATGGGGTCTGATTTCAGAATGATATTACATTGATTTCCAGAACATCAGGCAAGACCTGTCCAGGACACCTTTCAATGGATGACCCAAAAACGAAGGACAAACATGGACAAACCATGAAAATAAAACAGACACAGACACAGAGAGAGAGAGAGAGAGATAGATAGAGAGCGCACGGGGGGGCTCGCGAGAAGCTCGCGTCACCTGGCCCCCTGGCCGCCCCCTGAGGGTCACGGCTGAGTGCGATCGAAACCACGGAGAGGTACCGCCAGCTGCAACATGACCTCAGCTACCGGAGCGACCACCGGAGCGTCGCGGGGTGGCCGAACCTGGCCACCGCCTCGCCTCGGTGTGTAGAGACGGAGCGAACCACGTTGGTGTACAAAGCTTCTGTTCTGCACCCGAAGACCGAGATGAACTGTTTTTTGAACGTTGGAATTTCGAAACATCGGTTCGCCCAAAAGGTGTGGCACCAAAGGGAGCTAAAGGGACCTTCAGGATTGGGGTCCTCACCTGATCATGCTGTGGGATTGGGCTTCAACACCCACAAAAACCATGCCATGATGACCCACGGTGCTCGTTCCGCTCGCTCCACATCGCTCCCACCGGTGCATTTTTGCACGAAGTGTGTCTTTGAAGTGGTCACTCTCGGAGATCGAGACGTCGCAACGAGTCTAAAGGTCTAAACAAGCCCCAGGCTGGTTGCGCACAACGGTACACAACCAAGTACTGCCATCCACTGTTATGGGTTGCTGAAGGAGAGTCAGCCTCAAACGGTCGAAGAAGTAATATCTCCTATAGCTGTATAGCTTGGCAACATCAAGTGATACAGGATGTCCTCCTGAAGGCGAGTTGCTGGCACATATAAGCAAGGTGTTACGTTCGTGGCTTCTTGTTCCTAGTAGCAATGCCAGGAGCCCCGTTCGTAGCGTCCTTGCTCCTAGTAGTAAGGCCAGGAGCCCCTATTCCATGCTATTCCAGTTTATAAAGAAGAGGGAAAACTCTCTCTTTCTGGACAGTGCTTCACCAGGTTCTCCCCTCTTCTTCAGTACCGCCTCCCAATGATTCACCTTTCGGAAGAGCGCTAAGTGATCGGCGTAGAGCACATGGGTCGGAACTCCCTCAAAGGGCTCCAGGCCATTCTGCCGTGACGGGATGTGTGGCGATGTGTGGGATGTGTGGCGACCAGTGAATGCTAATGCGACCGGTAACAAAGGGCATCGGAACAAGGACGCTACTAGTAGCTCCTGGCCTTACTACTAGGAACAAGAAGCTACCAGTAACAAAGGGCATCGCTCCTAGTAACAAAGGGCATTACTACTAGAAGCCTTCTTGCTACGTGATCCAGATTCCATGAGGGAGATGGGACTTATGTTCAATGATCTGGGAGGTTTCCTCCCAGGCCCAAGCAGAAGGGACCCCCCATCAAGGACTGATGTACTTCATGAATTGCCATATTATTCGGAGCAATATACGTCATTGGATCTTGGTTGTCTTAGGTAGATCTGTCATCTGTCTACCATAGACGCTCTTCTGCAAAGTACTGGTTCCCTCGGTGTCCCTGGTCGTCCGAGGCGTTCTTGGGCCGAAGCAATTGGAGGGAATCGGTTAGAATCGACCGGCATTCCTTGTGTTTCCATCCTTGGAATCTCTGCCGTAGCCGATACGATCCTCGAACAATCTCAGTGTTGGGAGTCGAGACTGTCCCCTGAGCCGCAGCTCGGTCGAAAAGCCTTCTGCTGAGAAAAAACAACAGTTGCAACGCCTTTGGGCAATGTCTCCAAGTTGGGTGGGAGCAGTTCAATTACATGATGATGTGCATATGAGATCCTCCAAAGTCTTGACTGGGCTCTGATCTCACTTGTTTTAATGTGCCAGAGCCACTCGAGGTTTCTTGGCCGCGCATCCCCTTTTCAGACCGAACACGTCAGGAGATCGAGAGCAGTGAGTCACACCATCCGAGGCCGCTCACACCATAGATGTGGAGGGCGAACGGTGCGCCAACAAATGAGTCCTGCTACCCAAAGCCCTTTTTTGCCCAATCCATCCTGGAATCCTGGCCTGTGGACTCGTGAGTACTCTCCCAATGGTGGCGAACTCTCGCGTTGGCCTGGCGCTCAGGAGTTTCAGCTATCCACTGCCTGAGACCCCGCCAAATAGACCCTAGGTTTAGGGCGAGGTCTAGGTGCTGATGGTGCTGATAGGTCAAAAGTCAGCCAGAATGAAGAGTGCTATTAGGCTCCCAAAGATGTTCCATCCTTTCTCTGGTATATGATCCCAAAACATGAGAAATTTGGATCACGAACATCCAACCAATGTTCTCTTGTGATGGCCGATTGGGTCCAACTCCTCGTGCCTGCTGGGATGCAGGTCTTTAGTTGGAAGGTCAGTTTGAACAAGTGCAAGTGCGGTCAGTTTGTCCAACGCACTGGTCAAAACGGGTCGTACTCATTGGCAAAATGAGTATAGTTATTGTAGCAGGCAGTATATTTAAACATTTATGGTATATAATGTTATATATATATATATAGCTTGTAGACTCATAGCGACTCATATACCGATACTATGTCACCCCCTCCATGTCTGCACATCTACTTCAGCTAGCCAATGATTCTGCCGTCTGTTGAAAGTCACACAATTCCTGAACTCTCTTTTGGTGACATTATATTGTATATATATATATATCTATGTGTTGAATGATTGCAACACCTTTGATTACGTGACGGGAGTCTGCCAACCTTAGTCGTCCAACTAAATTTCATACAGCCACCCGGACACATCACGAGGTCGGTGCACAATTGAAAGATATAATCACAGCGAAACAACGTAACTGGCTATGATATGATCTTATATAAATCAGATTATATAAATATGTTCTTCTTGCTGCCCGTCAATGTCTTCTATCTCACGTCCAAGGCCGTGCTAGTAACTCGCTGGCTCGCTGGCTTGTCACTTTGACGCATTCTCTGGGCACCCCCTGACGCGTTGTAGAAACGCCCGGTGGCCACCCTGCGGGAGCGCCATGTCGAGAGGTGGGGTCTGGACTGTGGAGAATCCGGGGCCCAAGTTCCAGTCAGTTAAAGGCAACTTTGGAGTTCAGCTCTGTCAGGGAGACACAGTCAGGTCACCGTCCACTGCTTGGACTGAAAATCTGTGATCATCCAGCAAATGTGTGATCGATGCCCTCAGGCCATCATAGAAGAGCAAAGCCACAAAGATCTTCCAGAGTGTCATGTTCTGCTGCAATCATGGTCTGAAGCTTCAAAACTCTGAATTTCATCCGCATGCATGCTTCACAGCGCACATCGGTGAGTATTTTAATTGGGAGACCCCCAACCAATGGGTTTGGTCTATGTCCTTCTAAGATTGGTCAACATCAACTACGAGAGGTTCGGAAAATCACAGTTGGCTCCGATCTTGGTTGGGACTGGACGGATCCCGAGGTCCCAAATCGGCAACACCCAGCTCGGATCCCCGTCTCTGCCTTTGGCCGTATAGCTACGTAGTTATATACTCTCGTGCAAACTCACATGGACCGTGAAGGACCATTCTCCTCTACAACCCAGTGGTTTTGGGGGTCCGTGTCAATCTGCAGGGGAGTAAATCAAAACTTCCATCCGCTGCCTGAAGTGGGGCTTCGTGGAATCATCCTTCATGATTTGCACCATGAGCCGGTGTGGCAAAGCCTCGCGTGTTTTCACCAGAAAGTGTGGCAAGCGCGGGCAACCAGCAAGTCACGGTGAGAGGGCATGGAATGGTGTAAACAACGACTAGATATGAAAAGCATTATCCAATATATATATATATATATATCCAATGCCCTCCTCATCATTTCGGGGTCACCTCACTTTGATAACAAGCTCACATCATTGCCTGACTTGCACCTGACCTTTATCCCTCTATTCACCACATCCCTTTAATCCAATCAAACTCCTCAAGATATCTTGATTGAAATTCTGAACCACTGGGTGGGGTTGACTTTCGCTCATATCGGGTCCCATCCCAGTGCTCCTGGGAGCTGGCCATCTACGCGCAGCAGTGCAGATGTAGCTGAAAACCCTTACATTCCAGAGCCTCACATTCCATCGCCATTCCCATCCATTCCCCCTTTTTCCATCTTTCTCCCAACCCCAAGAGTGTAGCCCTCCACCAAGCACAAGGCCCTAAGGCCCCAGCACCGGATGAGGGCAACTTGAGGCTGTAGATGTCCATCTCATAGATCTCGGTGTTTTGTACTGCTCTGATCCGACGACAAACCGGCCCTGATCGGAACCGGCACCCAGTACCGGCCGCAGTCCAGTGACGAATCGTAACACAGACCCTGCGAGACTGTGGGGTTTGTTAGAGGTGAAAGCCTAAAATGGACCTGCGTAATTCGTATAATTGTGGGGCAAAACCGAGATACCTTGATTGACCTACCAACGATAGGTCAAGCTACGTAATAAGCCAGGGCTCCAGGCTTTTCTTAATCCGTGGCACTCAAAAATGGGCCGAATTCACCAGCCCGCACCTCCCAGGAGGTCGCTTCTTGCTACTAGTAGTAATGGCCTCCAACCTACTAGCGATGGCCTCCTCCAGCCTAGAAGCCTTGTTACTAGTTGAAGGACTGGGAGGCCGCCCAGCCATTGAGTTGCGGGCCAAAGGCCCAAAGAGATCGTTCATGTTCGGCGGCATCTCAACTTCAATCCAGGGAATCTGGCGGTCCAGCGTCTTTGCTTTGCGCGGTCCGGTCGCAAATGATGAAAAGCGTGACAAACACACCCTATCATACACGATACCATCTTATACCCAGATAGTAGTGTAAGTAGTGGAGGCTAGTCCAGCCAGGACACTTAGTTGGATGCTTCTGCTAGAAAGGGATTACTTAACCTCTAAAAAAATATCACACATGACTGGCATGCAATTGTTCCATTCCTCGGGGTGTCGGTGGAACAACGGTGGCCATTGCCCAAATGACGTGCCATGACCTGTGCCTCCTGTCCCTGGTACCACCCTCCACGATGGCTGACACAAATCTCACCGAATTCCACCTATGCTCTAAGAACCCTGATCGGGTGACCAATCCAGGTGACATATCCACAGCCAACATGAATGAGAAAGAACACGTGCTACAAAGCCAGCTGGCTTTCTTTCAATCTCAGATTGCTGTGTCTGAGGATACTTTCGGGAAAAAGGTAAATTCTCTTTGTGCCATTGCCCGAACATGCGCTGGAAACAATTGTTTTTCACCCCCTCCTGCGTGGCGAAGGGAACCACCTCGGTCCGGATCATGTCAAATCGGTGCAAGGTGCTTTTAGTGCTGTGTTTTATTTTCTGTGATTTTTCTCGTGGCTTACAGCCCCTCCTTGCAAGGTATCAGCAGGTTTGCCCCTGCAAAGCCATCCAAAGAAGGAACTGTTGGGCAAGTTGAATCATCCCAGTCGTTGAATTCCCGCACCATTCCTCAACCGGATCCAGGTTCCTGAAACACCCACGGTTTCGCATGGTGTTTCACATTGGTGCTTCAGACTTGGCCGATTTTCCCGACCTCACCGATGATTCCGATGGTGACGACTACATGGCGACCACCTGTGTGGAGGCTTTTTCCACCATACCCATCAGGTCGTTTTGGGGGTTCCCAAGAACTGCCTACGACAAACGGCACGGACCACAACACCATTAATTTGCACCCCGTCCAGGGGTGCGCCAGTTGCGCACGTCCTGGTCATGTCTTCGCCCGACGATCCTCTCGTCGAATTCCCAAGGGCCCCCTTTCAAAGGAATGCCGTTCGTGGGAGACGGGGCATCTCGGAACATCTCCGTGATGCTTCGCACGATCAGCGTCGTTAAGGTCACCAACGAGGCACTGAGGCACCCTCCAAAGTCTTCCAAATCTCGAATACGAATGATACGAAGTCTCGTGGTTCTGGCCATGGTCGCTCAAGCGTCCATGGGCCGGCACTGCAACAGCTTTGACAATGCAAAAACGTCTCGCGCGCGCGAGAGCCATTTGGTATATAGATCGATGTTTAGTTGCTTATTATATAGTTGTATGTTCTGTTGGTCCGTGCTCTTGGGTCTCACGTGGAGTCTAAGAGAACAAATCATTAGTCATTCCCTTCCAGTTCCCAAAAACGGTGGTGATTGGTGAGGCTTTGCAGGTTGACATTGGTGGAGCTCATTTGGGTTGGTTTACCATCACCACAATGGACGATGTCCCAACAAGTCTTTCCAAGGCATCCAAGGATCCAGATACCCTCAAAAAGGGTGGAGACCTTCTTATAGGTGCTGGACTAACTACCTTCTCAGCAAATGGATCCTTAAGGTTTCAACTGCGCTCCATGTCCCACCCTCTTGCACACCGAGGCTGAAGCCGGCTTCCCGGCACAGTTCACCACTTCCCCACAGCGGCGAAAGGTGCCAAAGATCTGAGCGACGAGGTCCCGTCTTCCTAGTAGTAGCAAGAAGCTACTAGGTTGGAGGCCATTGCTATTGGGTTGGA